ACTGGGTGGGTTTCAGGAGTGCGAAGAAGCCACCTTATCTCTCATTGCAAGAATGGGCGGGCAGCCTTCCTACACAGACCTGGAGGTTGTTACACGCCGTCCAAAAGGTTTCACACGTTTCCGGTCAGCGGTTAGAGTACTAATCGCAATTTCAAGGTATGGCTTGTATGATAAGAACCATGGTCCGTAACAGGAACCAAAACCACAATGAGAACCATGATTGCGTGCAGTAAAAAGAACCCGTGTGTCTTGCAAAACAGTGTGCCAAATCACTATGATTTATTTTCCCCCTTCTGAATGTCAAGATTTTTAAATAATATTGTTTCATTTCTGTATGACTTAATTGTTATATAGTTCCTATCGCTTCACAGAAACAGCCCCATCATCTGAAAAATCATATAAGTATAAATCAGATTGCTTGAGAGGAAACCATATTTATTTATTTATTTATTTTTCACATTTGTATCCCGCCCTCCCCGATGGGCTCAGGGCGGCTAACAGGGGCCGGGTAATTAACTGTGCCATAGTTAAAACATATAAAACATATTAAAAACATCAACACTAAAACAATGGTGCTCAATCAACTACTGATCTCATATGTCCAGGTTGGAGTCTGCACAGTTTCAGGTGATACTCCCATGATATTTATACCCAATGGAGACGGCGTGTTAGAGCTTCTTTACGTTGTCCAGGTTCTTCCTCAGGGCCACGTCCATAAATCCTATAAGGAACCATGACGGTGGTGGAATAGTGGGGTGGCGGCTCCTACTCAAAGGCCTGGCGGAAGAGCTCCATCTTACAGGCCCTGTGGAACTGCATAAGGTCCCGCAGGGCCCGGATCTCCCCCAGGAGCTCATTCCACCAGGTAGGAGCCGCCACCAAAAAAGCCCTGGCCCTGGTCGCAGCCAGTTTGGCGTCTTTAGGGCCCGGGATGACCAACAAATTTTGGGGCCCCGACCGTAGTGCTCTTGGGGAAACATCTGTTGCATAGCATATCTGTGAACCATAATGCACATGTTAGATGTTACCATTTTCATTTTCTCCCTCTTGTTTTAAAATGCAGAATGAAGTTCCTTGTTCATCGGTGGCATCGAATTACTGGTTATAGTTCAGTAGGCACCAGCAGAGATGGTTTTAGCCAGAACACAGGTACGTAAAAGGTTAATGGATACGTCTTCTGAGATTAGGCATTGCAGTCCAGAGACTGATGGTCCTGTTCCTTCTTGGAGCTGAATGAACTTGCTCCTGTGAATTGATAGTCCTTTCCCTAAATAAAATCTCCTCCTTTATTGTACGCTGTATTATGCAGAGAAGTTTGTGTGGTGCAGTGGTTAGAGTGTTGAATAGGATCTGTGAGACCCCACACTTCTGTGTAAGCTTGCTGGGTGTCCTTGACCCAATCACACACTCTCAGCCTAACCTACCTCACAGGGTTGCTGTAAGGATAAAGTGGAGGAGAACAATGTAAGCTGCTTTCACTCCTATTGGGGGGAAGGTAATGTTTAAAATAAAAATTATCTATGATGTAGAAATGTGGTAGCTTTCTCTCAGGCTTGGTCTCCAGCTGGAGCGTTTCATCACAGAATCGGGTCATGATCTTACCTACAGTGGCCATGCCTATAGCACCAGCACTGGGGAGACCAGGACAAGCACCCGGGGGACCCGCATTCAGATCATAAGAACATAAGAGATGCCAATGTTGGATCAGGCCAAAGGCCCATCCAGTCCAACACTCTGTATCACACAGTGGCCAGAAATACCAGTGCCATCAGGAGGTCCACCAGTGGGGCCAGGACATTAGAAGCCAGCCCACTGTTGACCCCTCCCCCAAGCATCAAGAAGACAGGGGAGACCAGGACAAGCACCCCGGAGACCCGCATTCGGATCCCCACTCTGCCATGGAAACTTGCTGGGTGACTTTGGGCAAGTTGCTTCCTTCCAGCTTAACTTACCTCTCAGAGCTGTTGTGATAATAAAATGAAAGAGAAGAAAATGATGTAAAAAACTTTGGGTCCCCCAGGGTGGGGGGACATAAACCCCAGGGTAAATCTACCTAAATTAATTGGAGTGGTGTGTGTCAAAACAGATCCTTTGAGCCTTGTGATAGCATTCTGATACTATGGATTTTGATTTTTCTGGGAGACTTTAAAGCATTGTTCTCAAATAATCAGTGCTGAAACACAAGGTTGCAATGCTATGTTTTGAAGAGCAGAACCAGGAGACCCTTCCAAATTCAACTATAACTGTTTTGATGTTCATTTGTAGGGTCCCAGTCATGGCTCTTGGAGTTTCAGAAACCATGCTTTCAGGTGGCAAGCTATTGTGTACCTTTTAATAAATTAAGTTCTGTGTTGAAAATCAGGCTATCTGTATTAAGGAATTATATCTATAAACTATAGGAAATGTGTTCCTTGAAAGTAATTAATAAGCAGAACTGAGTTTATTTGCTTATCTATAACACATAGTTTAATTTTTTTTCAAGTAGGCAATGAGCTATCAGGTGGTCTTGAGCTCTATGGGGAACAGAGACCTTCTTCTTATCGATCCAGATCAGAGCTGGAATCTCTCAGATCTCCTCTAAGCTATCAACACAGGTAAATTACAAATCCTGTTCTTTTCCTGCATTTTGAAAAAAATGAGCTTCTAAAACAAATCAGAATATAGCTTATTGTTCACCATTCAGACCCTTTCAGTATGTTCAGAGGCAATGCACACACACCCCAAGTACCAAAAAAAGAAGAAGAGATTGGATTTATACCCCGCCCTTCACTTGGAGTCTCAGAGCGGCTTACATACTCCTTTTCCTTCCCCTCCCCACAACAGACACCCTGTGAGATGGGTGGGGCTGAGAGAACTCTGACACAAACTGCCCTTTCAGGAACAGCTGTGCCAGAGCTTGCGACTGACCCAAGGTCACATCAGCAGGTGCAAGTGGAGGAGTGGGGAATCAAACCCGGTTCTCCCAGATTAGAGTCACAGGCTCTGGCACAGCTGTCCTTGAAAAAGAGCAGTTTGTGTCAGAGTTCTCTCAGCCCCACCCACCTCACAGGGTGTCTGTTGTGGGGAGGGGAAGGAAAAGGAGTTTGTAAGCCGCTCTGAGACGCCAAGTGAAGGGCGGGGTATAAATCCAATCTCTTCTTCTTCTTTGCAGTTTTTGGTATTTGATTGGCAGCTTCTTGCACTATGAAGTGCATTGAAGGCTCTTTAGAACAATGTTTTCACCAATATCTTTCATTGCTTCTCTCTCCATCTCAAGGTACCAGGGTGTCCATCCTGATTTAAGCCCAGTTTCCCTTGCATGTTCTCAACTACAGAATTACGATCCTGACAGAGCATTAACTGATTATATCAATCGTCTGGAGGCTCTACAGAAGCGCCTTGGAACTGTACAGCCGGGTAAATATTGCTGCATTTCATGGCAGTGCTGATTTAATTTAGTTTCACTTTCTTATGACTGTCTTAAATTAGTGTTTGACCATTTACGTGACAATCAGGTTCATTGTAGAAGACATATGATTATTGGTGCTTATTTTATAATCAGATTCTGTGTTTATTTCTGGCTTTATAGCACCAGCTTCATACGCACAACTGCACTCTGGTATCAGAAGATAATCTTTGCAACGTCTTCACCGCTGGTAGTGACATCAGATAAAAATGCCTTCTGCGAATCTGTGCTCCTGCTGTGCTTTTGTATAATGTGTATATTGTGGGACCAACATGAACACAGCTCAATGATTGTACGCAGTTCACCTTGCTGGCACCTCCACACTGACTGGAACTTATGTATATAGGCTCTTTTATGGTCATTCAAGCCTGATCATTAAATTACATGTATATTTGTGGGAATGCTAATTTAAACAATTAAATTATTATTAAGAAGTGTGTATTTATCAAATGGATGAGAGGATGAAACTTATGTACTGGGATTGCTGAATGCGTAGTTATAAGTGCACAACATTTTCTGATAAGGCTACTTGAAGGACTTTTCATGATTTTATCCTATTTGCTACTGGCACTGCAGAGAGAAATATCACTTGTAGAGACCTATTTTTGTAAAGGTAGAAGTTTTGAATTTTATGGGTATTTTGTCAAAAGTACTGAAATAAAGATGATTTCATCCTTTTAATACTCTGGTGTTTAAAACAGGATATATTTTGCAGGTAAAGCGAATTTGGAAGTGGGGGGGAGAAAGGTATAATGATGTGAATTATACCAATAAAAATATTTCCACTGACAAGTCACAGTTAGGCCACCAGGCAAGTTTCCACTTAATTTGTGCCCATTATCATGTATTGAATGTGTAATGAATGTTCTAAAAATTTGAAATCCTGGCTGATACCATTTGCAATACTTTGTATTTTAATTATTTATATTACTAGCCCCACCAGAAGCAGTTTTGCTTATACAGTTTTCTGTGTATAAAATGTTACTTTATATTGAGCTTTTTGTGGAGGGGAAAAGGATTGCTCCTAATAGCGTGATATTAACTACAGGCACTCCGGGAAGCCTTGGTAGAATGAACACAAGTGTAAGTTAGTTGCTTACCATCACTGTTTCTGAAACATAGGCATGGTTCACATATGCCCGAGAAGATGCTAAAATGAATTTGCAACTGCAGAGAATGTCATTTTAAAAGGCTGCCTCGGGAAGTAATTTGGCGTGGGGCAGAAGGCCCCAATGCAAGACAATTATTGTTGCATCAGTTGGGAACAGTGATTGCATTACTGTGAAGTTCAGCACTTTTGTGAGTGGAAATCTTCCCACATAAGTTAAAAGAAAACTAAAAGGGAGACTGAAGTTCTGTAGGCTTATCAATTAAATATACGATAATGGATGCAGAGAACCTAACTGAATTTGGTGGGGCAGTGTTTTTCCAGAGGATTAATTTCTTATCATCTAAGGCTGAAGTAGAAATCAGTTCCAGATGTGTATAGCCAAGGGTTCTTAACAGAGCTTACGCACACACTGCTGCATTTAATTACAGATTTTAATGAGGTCTTAGAATGACAAGCTATTCCGCCCAAACATCTATAACATTGTAACAACCGACAATCCTAATTACTGATCTCCACATTAGTAGGGCTAAACAAACATTAAGTGTCTGCAGAAAAACTAGCAATGGCTCAGTTACTGTGTACATTTTATCTGCATGATAAGCTAGCAGATTTCATTGCCATCTGCCTGACTCCTCCAGGTTTATTTTCTCCAGGTCAGGATGATTCCCTCCCTCTCTGTGGTGCTTTGCAGATGCTGCTTCAGAAAACACATGGAGAGTTTTCTACAAAAGGGAGGATGAAAGGCTACAAGATTTTAACAATTGATATTCTTAAAACTGAAAAATAAGGACTAATGTTTAAAAGGGACAATGTTTCTTCCAAATCCACGGTGACACTTCCAAGGGCTGCAGCTCCCATTATTAGTTATTTGTGGCTTCATCTAAACTTAAAAGAGCTTGCACAGTAACGCTCTAAAACTCAGCTGAAGTTGGCATCATGGTACTGCACTGATCTGGTTCAAGAACACCAGATTATTCCTAATTTGTATTACAATATGAGAGTCTATAAACCTACTCAAGATTAGTTTTGTAACAGCAACCATTTCATTCCAAAGTTGACTGAATTTGAATTTTAAAGGCTCAAATAATTAAGAAAGCTTATTCAAATTACATAATTAGAATATAAAGCAAGGAACAGACTTTCAGGTATTCTAAGAAGACAGCATAACATTCACATTTCTTCACAACAGTACAAATTCGGAACAGCCCCCTCTGGTTCAATCTTCACATAACTTGTTCAGAAATGTCTCTGCAGATCAGCTGCGTAATCTCCTTCTGTATCTAATGACAGGGTTATTGGGTGTGTGGATCATAGTTGTATAATTTATAGTAGGAAAATATCCATCCACCAAATCAAATTCATATAAATGCAGAAGAGTTGACCAAATTGTCTTAATTTGAACATACGCAAAATTTTCTCCAATACAACGATGACGACCTAAAAAGAAAGAAGCCACAAAATTTAGTTTCCTTAAATCAAACGCTTTGTATTTAGAAATTTTATCAGGCAGATATTAGAACTTTTATATACCCATTTTTGTACATTCATCATATGAGAGAAGTGCAACCCCCTGGTCAGTTCAACAGCCATCACATTATAGTCAACATTTAATTTATTGCTGGCCTGCATTTTCAAGGGTTAACTCTAGAGACAGATCTTTCATTTTTCCAAGTGCAAGAAAAAACACACTGCAAAATAGATCTTGATTTTAATAGTTTTTTTTTTAAAAAAAAACACAGTACAGATAGCAATGCTGAAGACAAATGTAAATTTTTATCCATAATTGAGGCATAATGACTACAACAAACTTACCAGCACCAAATGGTATGTACGCAAACTTCTCTCCAGCAGCAACAGGGCTATCTTGGAGGTAACGGTCTGGTTTGAAGTTCACATTTTCTACCCAACAGTCCTTAAGTCTATGATTGACAGTGGGAGACACACAAACTTGATGCCCAGGTGGAATCGTATACCCAGCAACCGTCTAGAAGCAATTAAAAACCTTCTTGTAAAAGTTGTTTATATACTCCAATACAATGATGACGACCTTACTCTCACCTTCAAAGATGGCATCAAACTGATCACTCCCTTATTAATTAGTAAATAAGTTTTCTCCATCTAGTTGAAGAATCTAATATCTGGACTAAACTAATAGAAGTGAAAAACAGTAACACGTTTTTATCATCCTTTCTCCAAGGAGTCTCAACCAACCAATAGACAATGTCTTCTCCTTGCCATACACCAGTGGCACCCCAGGAAGTGAGATAACAAGGTACACAGAAGTAAGAACATAAGAGAAGCCAATGTCAGATCAGGCCAATGGCCCATCCGGCCCAAAAATACCAGGTACCATCAGGAGGTCCACAAAGAAAACAAAGATCTACCTGTGGGCTAGGGAGCTGTGTTGAGCCATTGGGAAAGGCAGGATATAAATGCTTTAATAAAAACCTACAGGCCAATTCTGGCTGAATTCAGACCTCACAGTAAGCCACAGTTTATAAACTATGCTTTGATTATAGTCTAGTACTTTAGAGTCATGTCTGAATGCAGGCTGCTGCATAAACCGATATGAAAATGAATATTCGAAATCATGCCTTGTACCAGGCTCACGCTTGCTGTGATTACCACCAGGTCATTCACTCTTTTCCAAAAAATAAAAGGGAGAACTCTGTCTATGGGTGATGGAGGTATGGCAGTAGGTGGACTGTTTTTGGCTGTAACACTGTTTTGTGGAGAATAATTTCCAAGAGAAAATATGCTTAGAACGTGGTGAAATGACAAAGCAGAGGAAGGACTGTAATACATACTTTGTTTCAGAGTATGGTTTATAAAATGCAGTGAAACAGAAGGAGAGTAAGTCAACTGTCCTCAGCCAACAGCAAGGTGGTGGCAGTTTGAGTTACCCTGTGTTTCCCACCCACACCAGTTTCCTCCCATTTCCATATGCAATGAGGCTTTGCCTGGCAACTCAAAGAAGCTTAAACTATTAGCCAAGACTCTGCACGGAGCCAGGAAAGGAGGCAAACAACAGAGAAGTGGGATTTATTAACAAATTGTAGTTCATTACATACATGTAGTTGACAAATCAGGGCATGTGCAATAAACTGTGTTTTCAAGAAACCACAATTTACTGCAGAATGTGAATGCAGCTTTCACTTCTCTTGGTGAGGAACAATCCATTTGCATGGCCATTGTCCACACAATCATTTTTGTACTACAAGGAAACATTTTCCGAACGTGCAGGGAAGAAGAGCAAAATTAACATCAAAATATGACAACATACCAGTGCAAGCTGATAAGAGGCACAGGATCAGGTATTTGGAAGTATATCTAATTTCTACCACAGCAAGGGTTGTTTTCTTAAATTGCAGTAACAAGCTGACTGCTGATGCCAAAGAAGTGGGCAATAGCAATTTATCATACTTTGCACTAACTTATTATAACTTTATAACTTAAATTGAAAGTATACCTTAATAACTAAAATTCCCAGTATTCGTTGCAGGCTTAGCAAGTTCACACTGCTAGAATGAGAGATCAGGGAGTCGAAACCCCTCCTATCTTTTCATACTTTACAAGACTTGTGAACCAAGAATTGAATAGCAACTTAGAAACATCATAGTATTGTCCCAGGTTCGCCCTATGCTCATAATGCTACCCCATAATGTCTTATTCCAAAAAACAGATGCACCACTGAATATATACAAAACGTTCTTACTTGTGGAGTTCTAGCCATCCTCATCATAGTCATTATAGGAGGCCTAAGTCTTAGCGTTTCTTTCAAGCAACTGTCCAGCAAACTCATATCCTTGAGCTAGAAAAAGTAAAATACAACTTTGTTACTTTCCAGACTAAGATTATTTCACATACAGTCATGTAGCATGGTTGTAATTTTCTGTGCTATGAACTCCAGCAGTAAGCTAGCCCTAATTTGTCTCTCAAGCATAAAACTAACACCACCTATGTATCCTGTTTGAAGTAGTCTTAATTATATTAGATATTTTGTCAATGATGCAGAGAGGGGAAACCACAATATATGCTATGGACACCAAAATACATGCAACTCTCTAAAGGAGAAGGTTGCCAAAACAAATGCATGAATAGAAGAAACATGTACAACCCTTCACATATAATTGTGTACCAGGGTTTTGCCTACAGCTATGCTGTTAAGATCTCATACTGAAATGATACCAAATTATATCCATTAATTGTATAATGGAACTTGCCTAACATTTTGGCAGAGGAGCAAAGGAAACTGGGAGCATTTGAGCCAGCTGAATAAGGCCTGGGCTGAGCATCCCCTCCCCTTTTCCAGGTATCTGAGACCAAGGCATGGTCACAGATGTGAGCCAAAGAGCTCTTATCCCTTGGCTTGCGTCTGTGGTCCTGTGCAAACTATGTCAATGGAACCAACACCAATCTTGGACAACTTTGCATAACCTGCTTCAACAGTGTACCATGTACATTTTGAGTTGTATGTATTTATTTAACTTACACTCTTCTGCATACTTTGATTTTTAAGCCACCAAGTCCACCAAGTGGGAGAAAACCCAGTTAAAATAAATACAAATGTATTATTTGAAAGTTATATATTGTGACTAACAGGACTCACTGCAAAGTATGTATTTAGTACAAATAGATAGGCACCCACAAACTTATATGCACGAAGTTTCTTGTTCACAGCTGGGAAATAGGTGTAACCGCCACACACACACACACTAACACATTATTTCCATTTGTGTTTTGCTAAGAAAAAGTAACTTGAAAGCTGCATGTAGTACTTAAAATGAGAGTAAAAAGAATGTTTAATTTTTCAGTGTACCTCAAGTGACTGCATGAGATGGATTGACTCTATAAAGGAAGTCACGGCCCTCAGTTTGCAAGACCCGAGCAAGGCTGTTAATGATAGGATGTTTTGGAGGTCATCAATTCACAGGGTCACCATAAGTCAGAAGTGACTTGGTGGCTCTTACACACACACACACAACTGACTGAAAGGGAAACTTAGACCATCCTACTTTAATTTCTGCTCCTTAATATCTATGCCTGAAGAAAAGTCTCTTATACAATTCTGACGCTTTCAACACTTCCACATAAGTTCTGAAGTCCCTTAGTCTCTAAATAATTCTGCCTACATGTTTCAATATCCTACAATTGTGTCATCTGGACAGATAAGCACAGGAATTAAACACGCTTACAAACCTGATCATAATGTAATGGTGGGATATTGTCTCCACGCACTGCTTTTTGTTCCATGTAACACCGTTCTTGGAGTGATTTGTCTCTAGCCAAAAAGAAGCCGAGCCAAGCACTGGTGGTTGAAGATGTGTGCTGCCCAGCTAACAGCAGCCCAATCAGCAGTCCAGCAATTTCATCATCTGTCAGGTGACGCCCATCCCTAGATTTGAAAAAGGAAATCTATACCAGTACTGTGCCAGAGTAAGAAAATCACATCATGGATTTCCTGAACACAATTCATCTATTCCTCATGACCGCGTTGTTTCAAATACAGATCAACAAGCAAAAGACACTACAATTTCAAGTTGCTAGGAGAAACAGAAGTAGTCTTCTGACTCTTGCCAAGATGAAAACAAGCTCTGAATTCTCTAAGAATGAACAGCCATGCAAATTCAGAAGTATATGGCAAAACTGACATTATCCTACAAATGTAACCACCTTCAGTATACAAGATCCAGAACAAATATGATTTCTCACTGACCATTTCATCCCATTATTTCTCACATCCATATATGATAAGCATCTGTCTTTTTGTAAAACAATGCAGGATCAGTTTCATGACCAGAAGTTATTTCTTCTCCTCATGACATCATTATGAGTACTACCCTTCTTCCAAGACCCCTTATCTGTGCTGGTTCAGCTTTTTTTAGGTGGTCTTTCCCTCTGCAGCCCAAATGGCACCTGACATGCTGCTCCAAGCAACAAGTCTGCACCAAAAGCCCATGGGACATGTTTCTAGCACCTTGGTTACTGCCACAACATTCAAAGCAGGGGTTGTGTTGTTTGTTGCATGTTTATGCATTACAAGCCACCAAGGTTCATATTCTGATCTTTAACAAAATAATTAATTTAGACAAATCTCAGCAAGACCTTTTGCTGGGATCAGAGCTCAAGGCTTTGATCTTTGATGCACAAAGTGAAGCAGTTTGGTGCATTAGACTCCTGCCTATCTTATTATCACAGGCAATCACTGCTGTATCCTTTCTGTTCCAAGGTATAATCCATTTTTGCCACTAAGAAATAAGCCCCTCTCAAGTCAAAAAAGGTCTGCTTCTCATTGGACGTTTACAGGTGTTGGGAAGCTACTGGTGTTTTGTTCCATCTTCTTGTTCTACCTACCAGCCCTAAAGTATTAGGTGCACTTATTTCTATAACAGTTATGCATTTCAGATCCAAATCTTGTCCCAGTTTCCTTGATCCAGATATACCACTTTCCTTGATAACATGAATTTTAGCTTCTTTTAAGTCCAACTTCCCAAAGTCTGGCCTATAACTTTCAACTATTTCTTATTAATCCCAGCCCAAACGACGTTACATACTTGTAAGTGACATCCAGTAGAGTCTGAAGCATGTCATCCTCTCTTTTCAAGGACTGTCGGCGTTTTTGAATTACTTTGTAGAAGATAGCCTTTATCTTTTTGTGGGCTCTATCTCTTCGCCTGCAAATAAAAGCATCTATGTAATACACAGTAACTATAAATACTTGGCCCACAGATCTGACTTCACTCGTAGAAAAGAGTAGGAGTCCAGTAGCACCTTAAAATCTAACAAAATTTGTGGTAGGGTAAGAGCTTTCTTGAGTCACTGCTCACTTCTTCAGATACTTTGACTTTGTGAGATTTATACATACTGATATAAATCTTAAGAAGAGGAGATTTTATTTATTTATAGTCCACCCATCTTTCTATTGGAAGACAAACGTGGATGTGTCTTGTTTGGAGGGCTAGTTTAAAAGGTATATAATTTAAGGTGGTTCAAAAGGCAGCAGCTGAGACGCAGTGGGGAGACAGGTGGGCATGTGGATAAGCACCTGCCTCACCTATGAAATGCCTTGCTTTGGGCAGGATACTGAAGTTCAGTGAGCTCACAACAGCCTTGTTGAATGCTAAAATGTCACTCCTAAGTAAACTCCTTACAAGAAGACTGGGATACAAACATAGCAAATGTAAATAGAGAGTTGACAGGAGAGTCAGTTTTTGACCCACCAGGACTACAAAGTTGCTTACAAACAAAAACCTGAAATCCAAAAATATGAAGGTAAAGGCTAGACAAGAATCAGAGGCTACATATTCCTATGCACACTTGCTTGGAAGTTAGTAGGCAAACATAGGCTCATGCTGCACATCTGTGAAACATTAGGCTAATGTGATTGGAATTTCACATTCTTTTACAATGTGCCAAAAGTTGGAAAAATTCTGCAAATTCAAAACGGATCTCCTAACACTGCTTTTGCAATACAGGAGCCCCAAGAGCCCCAGTACGGGAAGGACCTATAAATGTCTGAACTCCACACCGTTTCTTCCTGCGACTGTGAAAAGCCAGGCAACACTGGCATCAGAAGCAGTATGGATGCTGCTGGAGTGGAGGAGTCTAATATTACACAGGCAACATGGAAAGGAGTGCCCACAGTAGTGTCTGATGCACCACAAAGGTACTTTCAGGCAGGACTTTTAGTAGGAACGTGAGAGAATGCTGCTTCTGATGCTAGGAAAACAAGTCAACGTTTAAGCTGAAGAATGTTTTCGCAAGACTTGGTGTTGCTAGCAGTCTACTTTACAATGGTATAAAAAAAAAGGCATCGGAACATGATCTGAATTGGAACTCTAGACAAATGACACATCCAAGGCTATGACAACGTCATTCCAGAGCGGCAGCAGTCTACCAAGTCAACGTTTAAGCTGAAGAATGTTTTAGCAAGACTTGGTGTTGCTAGCAGTTTACTTTACAATGGTATAAAAAAAGCAAACGGAACATGATCTGAATTGGAACTCTAGAGAAATGAAACATCCAAGGCTATGACATCATTCCAGAGCAGCAGCAGTCTACTGGAGCAAAATAAAACAAAAGCCTAACAACATTTATTCCAGCACAAGCTTTCGTGAGTGACAGTTCACCTCATCAGATGCTGTGAAGAGGAAATCATATTCCAACTTTTTATAGAGAACATTTGCTCTAGAAATATGTGGAATATGATTTCTTCTTCATAGCATCTGAAGAAGCCAGTTGTTATGCTTTAAGGTGCCACTGGACTTGTATTACATTGTTGTAGAATTGAACAAAAGGTAAATGTATTACTAGGGGCTGTTACATATGTAACATCCCAGACTGCTTCAGCATGGTTAAGAGATTAAGATCAGGTTACAGAATCATATGTTCCCTCCCCACTCAGCCTCCCTTGCATGTGCATTCTCACCCCCGTCCACCTTTACCTTTGTTATTATTGACATTAACCAGATACTTGCAAGAAATGGAGTCCACTAAAGCCATGAAAAATTATAAGCCAGTTGGTGGTAGTGGAAAGTGCCTTCGAGTCACAGCTGTCTTATGGGTAAGCAAAACCTTGTTGGGTTTTCAAGGCAAGAGACGTTCAGAAGTGGTTTGCCACCGTCTGCCTCTGCGTCATGACCTTGGTATTCCCCATCCAAATACTAGCCTGGGCCAATCCTGCTAAGCTTCAACAATCTGATGAGATCGAACTAGCCTGGGCTATAACCCAGTTATTCATTGCAGAGTTCCTATATTTTATCCGAGTGCTTCACCTAAAAATTGTGGGCATAAAAGGCAGCCCAGGTTAATGTCACCCACCCAGGAGGAATATGTGTTCAAGAGGTGTTCAAGACGTTCAGAGGTGGTTTCAAGAATATGTGTTCAAGAGTAGCAAGTAAAGTGTACACAGTCCTACAGCCCATACTCAGTGGTTATATTATTCAGTAGGCTCAGATTGGAGTAACTCTGTGTAGAATTGCAGTGTAAGAGACTTCAAAGACCTTTTTATGTTTACTTGGGAGACACATTTGCAAGAGGGATCTACAATACATTAATTTGATTAACAAACTGATTATCTGCTGACTGAGCTGTTCAGTACCTGAAGCTTGGCAAAGGCAGCCAACATGGCAAAAGCCAAGCAGCATGTGTAAATCCCCCATCCAGGTCAGCATACAACTGTGCTACCTTCTCATTGAGGATACTTCTTATCTCTTTCCCATGCAGACAGTGACTTGCTGTCAAAATTATCAGTTCTGAAAGTGCTTCAAATAAATCTATTGAAAAAGAAAGGACCTAAATTAAAAGGGAAAAGTGAAGTGCTCAGCTTTACGTTTATTTATTTATTTGATTTATATCCTGCTCTATCCTGCAAACGAGTTCAGGGCAGCTCACAACACATAATACACAGTTTAAAAGATTAAAACATAATACTTTGGACCTTTGGACTTAAAATGGGGGCTCTCCAAGAACTTATTTATATTTATCTTCAGAGCTTCAAATGGCGTCTATACACCTATAACATTTTTCCCTTGCATGAGTCAAGATTTATACATCTAGAGACTTTAAGGTCATGTGGGGAAGGAGAATGTTGCTATTATCTCTTTGCTTACCCACTTTTAGCTCCTATGCCCTTTGGGGACAGTAGCTATTTACAGTGTTGTGCACAATACTAAAAATAGAATAAATAATGAGTAAGAGATACCTAATGTGCACAACTGATTATCAACAGGTAGCAAGTAAGGGAGTATACTAGCCAGTTTGTGTTCTAAGAATTTCTCAGCAACTCAAAATTGATCTGTAGAATTTCAGAGTACAACTGCTCATTTGTCTATTGAAAGTAATTTTACAATGCAATATTATGCCACAACGCTAATCATGCCTCCTTCATCTCACATTCTGCTTAAGCACAGCTTTTCAAATTATATACTTACTTCTTTCTCCCTTTTCTCCCCAAGTTTTGAAGTATTCCTTAGTTTCTTCTTCTATTATGGGTACATGATTTTTAAATTGTGCTATATTCAGCCCACTTTTCAACATCTTTTTCTGTTCCAAAAATATCTTCGAGAATAAACAAAGAAGATGTTACACAAGACAGATTATAGTGCTTGTACAATTGATCCAGTGAAGATGAACTTTCTGAGCCCAACTGATCTCAAAATCAGGCATAAGCTTAACTCCCTCCACTATGCAAATCAACTGGATGAAAACTGCTCAATTTCAGCAGTTTTAGCAGGATGATGCCCCCATATTTTTCAAACTTCTGATGTTCAGAATAACTTTAATCACACACAAATTATTCAAGTGTTATACATGGAAAATAAAAGCTTTTCTCCTGAAAAGCACACCTGAGATGACAAATATTTTTTCCCTTTCTTCTCCAAAAGTCCTGCTTTGTGGCAAAGAATTTGATTGTTTGGAGAAGACAGGTAAATTGTACCTATAATTAGCTGCAATGGATTGGATCCAAAGATTCCCTACTCACTCTGCACGATGGTGGCACCCTCCAATCATGTTTAGTATATTTTTATCCTGCTTTCCTCACTAATGGAGACCCAAAGCGACATACAGAAAATATACCTCCAAGCAAATTTCCATATAACACAGTATTTAAAAAAAACTACCAAAAGACATAATGCAGCAATCACCTTACACTAGAGCACTGTTTAAGAAAAAATGAAAATAGATCTTGAGGTGGTCTTGAGCAAAAGGCTGTGCATACTTCCGGCACAATATGAAGCATGAGAATTGCTGCAGAATCTGCTTATAGCACAGCATAAGTGCTTAGAGACTTGCAGAATAGCATCAACAGCTATATTCCTTTCACTGGTGGTTCTTGAGTTCCAATTCATTATTATAGGGAAGTGTGGAGCTGACTCTGCTCCACTAAGGCGAGCAGGGGAGCCAGACTTGCAGGAGTCCCAGGCATACATGTTCCTTTCAGGAAAATATGTTTAACATGAAAACAGAATGTCTTTATATAATACCTTTGAACTTATGACTTGAACTGCAAATCAATAAATGCGCTCTTACTAATTATCTCAGCAGTCACCTATAGATCACTCTGTATGCTACTCTTGCTTCAGTTACTAGGTTGGCTAATTTTATCTGCTGGAATGCTGGCTACCAAAATAATGTATTATTGATGTTGCTTCTGTTATCCTGCTACTGTGAAATCTGTGTCATGTTATTAGAGACTATTCAACCATATACGTACTGGGTGGGGTACATCATATGCAACTCCTTTGCCAAAGACAGGTGTGGTTAGCCGTGAATAGACATCCTCTGCATTCAAGTCTTCATTTTTGCTATTGAACAGAAGAGCAGCAGCATCACTACCCAGCAGATAAGTAAATGTCTTCCCCACCATCGTGAAGCTAAATACAGATCCATACTGTAAAGAAATCAAGAGATTGGGAAATGGAAGAAAAACAGGAAAAATGTAACTGTAAAGAATATCCTTTTTATCTTATAGCAAAAATTACACCATGAGAGCTGTTGCTGCGATTTATAATTGCTTCAGATCCATACACATGCAAGAAAACAAGAACAACATAATGAAATGGGGGGAAAAAATAACCTGATTAATCTACCAGGCTTGTTTTAAGCACCAAGGGTAACTGGCTTGAGGAAACGGTTTTACTGCTAAAAGCCAGAAATGTACCATGCATCTGAGGCCCAAAGGAACTGCTCAAAGCCTATAATGCAGTAACCTACATAGGATGGAACATAGCAATGCCTGGATGGGATACAGTTCAGAAACTTTATGTATTGAGATCCTAAACTGTTGTTCCATTACCATAATTTGCTTAATTCATATTTATCCCCAATTTTTAAATTAACTATTGACTCACTAGAATAAATATCCATAATAGATACAAGGCCAATACCCAAACTATAAAAATCATGCAAAATAAGAGCTCTGCATCATGCACTTCACTGCAAGATTCATTTTCTTCACAACCCTCAACCATGATGAGTCTAACCTGAAAGTATTTCTGTTTTACTGGTAGGCCATTAATTTCATCAGTGTGCAGGTCTCTTCCATCAGCCAATCATGAATTCTGGACCTTTCCCCCCCCCCTTTTTTTTTTGCTTTGAATTCCTAGAGAAACCAGTCTGGTTGCAGTAATCATATGTAAAGCTAACACTTGAAGATTTTTAGAAATATCAACCACAGTAAGATCTCTGGTTTACAGTGAATATGTGTCTCAAATCCAATTGATGTAATTTCTACCACTTGTTTCCAATAATCTGTTGCCCATTTACAGGGGGGAAACCTGCCTTCTCTACCTCACAAAACCAGCGCTTACTACTCCCAGCTCCATAGATCTTTGCTAGCCTGAAAGGGGTTAGATGCCATCAACAGATCATTTTCATCAGATTTTCCCTTGAAGAGAAGCAAATCGTAAAGGTGGTTCCATATGTAAATATGTATCTCCACTTTTTATCATCTAAATCAACACCAATATCTATTTTGCCATCTTATAAGAAAACCATTATCTGGTTTAAGTAACACATCCAATAAAATTGTATAGAGATTCAGAAAAAAGCATCCTTCACACTTAATTCACATTTTCTTGATGTGATTCTTGCAATTATTGTGATCCAACCTGACTATTTGGAATTGCCCAGCATCGGTCCACTCTTCTGATCCAGTCAAGACTGCCTCCCCTAGCCTGGATACATCCCTATTTGGACCTAGTCCCAGAACCCTGAACTGTCACTCCACTCTTCTGATCCAGTCAAGACTGCCTACCCCAGCCAGCCTGGATACGTCCCTATTTGCACCTAGTCCCATAACCCTGAACTGTCAATCTTCCCCTTCAATCACAAGAAACCTGAAGTCTTACCTTGTTCTCTCACCTCTTTCCAAGCCTAAAGAGAGAACAATCTTTTGTTTTTGGACTTTGCTGCTTGCCTGTGTGAGACAGGATGTTGGACTAGGTGAACCAATGGTCTGATCCAGCAGGGCTCTTCTTCTCTATTTGAAGTAGAGTCCGAGTCCCATAAAGTGTGTGCTCCTATAGCTTACACATGACACAAGTGTGCAGCTAAGCAGTTTTCTGTTAACACATATTTCTGGACTGCTGCTTTCAACTTTGCCAATATACACTTTAACTGGCTCGAAATCACATGTTTCTGTATCTGCAGAGCACTCACTGATACATGTCAATGTTCCTATTTCGCTTCCATTTTGCATTACTCTTGGCTTAACTGCTGCCCAAGATTTTATACTTGTGCCTCAGATCTTGAACTGCCACAGACCTGCATGTATATATAGCTATGGGCAATTCCTCCTTATATTTCATTTATCTCTTTGGCCTCTTGACTCACCTCAAGTGGACTAGCTTGTACACAGTTTGGAAGCTTGGAGTGACTGGCTTGTTATAAGGTCTTAGTCATAATGACATCTTGTTTGTAATGACATTTGAATGCTTGGTATTATTTTGACTGCTTCAGACTCAAGACAATATGAAGCTCAAATATTCTAAGCAATTCAGTTACTACAGAATATTATCAAGGAAAAGACTCACCTTTTCATAGGCATTTTCTAAAAATTCAATTGGACTTTTCCCAAATGAAACTGCATGTCCCAGAAAGGGAATGTTTGATGATATAAAAGGAGGATATTTCTGCAGAAGGAAAAAAAATGTTTTTAATAATATGGCATCACACTAGGCTGCATGCCCAAGAGCTTTTCAGCCTAAGTATAAATCATGACTGGAGGCTTAAGAAAAATAATAACCAGTTGCAATCTGCCCAGTGGGTATGGTAGTCAGACAATAATCAAAACAACCAACAATCATTATTACCTGTAGTAGGACAGAAGTGAGCATAGATAGGGTGTGGCCCATGGGAAAGAACAGGCACAACCTATTTAATCCATGATAGTAACAGCAGCACCAACACTAACCAGCATGCTTGAGAACGTTAATTTCCTTAAAATGAGACAGGTAGCAAAGCATAATTGTCTTGCTCCATCCAAGGTCCTGCTACTATAGCTAGAATTTCTTAAGCTACCCTGTGTACCACTGGATCTATGTATACATTTAAGATTGGGGATTTTAAAAAATGCCTGTATATGAATACACAAAATGCAACATATTGGGAAGTTGATTAAAAGCCAGAAAAGCTAATTTACAAAACGTTTCCACCACAGTATGACTTCTAGGAGACATTAGGTCATGCTTACTTTTTGGCTATATATTGTCTCTATACAAGTTTGACCTACATGAGGCATATGAATACTTCAGTGTCATCTTGAACATAGTTTGGAATTTGGCTTATTTTTACCATGTTTGACGAGCTCTGTAAACACTCAAAATTTCACTAATATGAAATCAAAAACAAATTAAATTTATTATACTCATCCTGATACATTTAAATCTTAAAATTAATCTTTTCGCTTATAACTTCAACTAACTGCAGCGAAAAAATAGGCATTAAGAGATAGCCTCCTAATAGCTCTGTTCTCAAGTACCTTGGAGAGCTTCAAAAAGGTGATCCATCCCACCTGAGAGAAGACGAGCAGACCAGTAAGAGAGACAAGAGGGATCATTTGGACTTCGAGCTCGGGACACAAGTGAGAACACAAGCTGTGAGCTGGTAGATCTGCTGCCTCTTTTTCTACACTGTACTAGTAAATGTGTACAGAAAGCAAATAGTACCCAGCATCATAAGCTTTCAAGTCCCCTCATCCAAAGGAAACCAACCATTGTAGCTCTGTCCCTGAAACTCATCACTGCTAAGGGAAGCAGGGCACTTGTACCACTATTATACATTCACGTACATGCTCCATGCAACCCACTCCTGCGTATACTTACTCACAAGTTCAACTGAATCCCATATGGCCTACTCACAAGTAGATACAAAGACTGCAGTTCCAGCATAACATTTAAGCTCTGACAGCTTAGTTGATTATATTTAGAAAATTCATGTCTCACCTTTCTACTGTTAAAGTGGCATTTGAAGCAGCTAACAAAAAGTATAAATTAAAATATAATAAGCCTAGAGTAGACATCATATCAAAATAGGCATAGAGTAGACATTTTTGTAGAAAAAGCCCAGCAGGAACTCATTAGCATAATAGGCAACACCCAACAGCAGAAACTCATTAGCATATTAGGCCACACCCCGACAACACATCTTATTAGCATATTAGGCAACACCCTATGCCTTCCCTTGGCTTGCCCAGGTGCCCCGCAGGGCAAGCCCCCCCAGGAAGGGAAGGCAGTTTAAAATTGGACAGGCTGGGGAGTGCTGATCCTTCCAGGGCCCCCCCTGGCCTGCCCGCCTTGGAGTCATGGGGCAGGTCGCTCTCCAGGCCTTCCCTCTGTAGCCACGCACACAGAGGTTTTGGCTGTGTGGGCGTGGAGCCAGCCGGAACTCCATTCCTGTACGTTCCTGCCCAAAAATAGCCCTGAGTATAAGATAAAATAAAAGTAGCAATAAAAAAGCTGTTGACCTATCAGCTTAAACTGATGAAATACACTCCAGAACGTCTCCTCTGCCTTCTTCACAAACAGTAGAAGCCAATAATGAGAGATCACGGGAGGAGGTGGAAATCCAAACACAATTCTTATCAATTTCTACTTATCAACTCTTGAAGGAAACATCCCATGTTGACTAACAACAGATCCCAAGAATTGTGATTGCTACACTCAGATAAAGCAATTCTTGTGAAGCGGATTTGTTTATATTGTGCAATATTCATTGTGTGTAAGCGGTAACAGAAGAGAATTTTCTACAGAATTACTACAGTAAATGATTTTGCACACATATCTTTAGTGACTCTTCGTTATTTTTGTCACAGATATTGTATATGGATTTCCTTCTTCTCAAACAGGGCAGGACCCAGGAATACTCCCAAACTGCAAGCCTCACCCTTGGGGCGGGAGAGACTTCCCATCCAAAACAAGTTGTAACACACACCCCACCACACACAATCAGTGCTTCTGTTATGGGGCTACTTCCATGGGAGGAAACACTTTGCAGAGGACCATCCAAATGCTGACAGAAGAAGAAGAGAAGAAGAGATTGGATTTATACCCTGCCCTTCACTTGGAGTCTCAGAGCGGTTTACAAACTCCTTTCCCTTCCCCACCCCACAACAGACACCCTGTGAGGTAGGTGGGGCTGAGAGAACTCTGACACAAACTGCTCTTTTTCAAGGACAACTCTGACAGAACTATGGCTTGCCCAAGGTCATCCAGCAGGTGCAAGTGGAGGAGTGGGGAATCAAACCTGGTTCCCAGATTAGAGTCTGCGCACTTAACCACTACACCAGCAGAAAGGTGCAGGATTGTCCTGTGACTGCATGGATGGTACCCAAGAGACTTACGGCTGCATGAGGGCTAGCACCTCAGTTATGGGAACATAGCAGAGTCCAGTGGGCCCAGTGAGGTCACTTGGGGCCAAGCATGGGAATAAAGTCCGGAGCCTTTCACCTATGGATTAGACTTGCAATAGAGCTTCCAGCCAGGAAAGGAAGCCCTTCAGGTATTTGGGCAATCTTGAGGAGAGCTGGCAATGAAGACAAGCTCTTCTGGGCTGACTTAATTAGCCAAGAGAAACAAAAATACTGGCAGTGGCTTCCATTTCAAACACTCAAGTTGCGCACACTGAAAAATATCCTAGCATTTTGTAAACAGAGATGGACAGTTTTCAGGGAAGCCAGCCTGCCTGCATCCCTTTCTTGAGCAAGCCTCTAATCTGCCCCACCAGAGCAGGGATATCCCAGATTGCTGCCATCTCAACATAGATCCTATGTAGACCCCCCCCCCCCCCCCCACTCATCCATTAAGTTCAATGCGCACACGCAGGCGCCCTATAGCTCTTTACAGGATTGCTGGTACAGTCAGCCAGGATAACCCACCCTCAATAGCATCCCCACCCTGAGTGCAATGAGAATGCACAATTTTTTTGGCCTCAGGCAGACAAGGCACAAGGAAGTACTCTTCCTCCCTTAAGCACCCACACACACACCCAAATCCTTGGCCAGACTGATGAACAGCAAGGCTCCTTCCCGCATTCAAAACCCCTTTTTTCACACCCCACCACCTAAACGCCTAAAATGTTGGCTTAAGTCTCCTTGGGAGACACCTACAGTAGAAACAAAAAAAGTGCCATTTGCCAAATACCTGACACATGCTCCAGGGAACCAGTGTTCCCGCTAAGTTGAGTTAGTGTGAGCTAGCTCAGTTTTTTAGCCTCCGGCTCACACCTTTTTGTCTTAGCTCTTGAAGGATGCCTCCAGAGCAAACTAATTATGCAGCAGCCAAATCGCTCGCTCACAACTTTAATGTCAGTAGCTCACAAAGTAGAATTTTTGCTCACAAGACTCCACAACTTAGAGGGAGCATTGCAGGGAACCCCCCCCCCCCCCCCATTTGCAGCGTCAGGTCGCACAGTCAACTGACTACGGACTTCAAGGCAAACGAAGTTCAGAGGTGCCACTGCCTTCCTCCCTGTACCCACCCGAGACTTTCTTGACGGGCGGTCTCCCACCCAAGCACTAACTAGGACTGACTCGCCGTGGCTTCCGAGACCGGGCTAGCCTGGACCAACCTGGTCAAGGCTTTGGTAACCAGCCATCCCCCTCCAGAGCATTTTGAACTTGTCACACCACCACGTTCTTACCGGAGGCTTCCCTCCGGCGTCCCAGCCAGGAACTGACGATCTCTCTCACCCCCCAACCGACCTTCTTATCAGTCGCCCCGGGGTGCTGAGGAGGGAAAGGAGGCGGCAACCCACTCCTACCTCTTGGCCGGCGCTGGGCTGTCTCCGGCTGCGAGAGCCCGCCTGAAGAAAGTACCCCAAGCTCAGGGCGAGGGCGGCCAGGAGGAGGGACAGAGAGCTCCCGGCAGCCTTCTCCAGCAGCGAGCTGCCCACCTCCGACAAACTCGGCATCGCCATCTTCGCGCCCGCAGGAGAGCCGGTCCCGGCCGCGACTCACCGAAGGGGGCGGGGCCAAGGCCACCTAGCTCGCGCTGGGCTGATCTCTGCTCATCTGACGAACGCCGCGCCGCAGCCAATCAGCCAGCGAGCAGCAACAAGGTGACAGCGGGGCTGGCTTTCGGGTGGGAGAAGCCAGCAGCCTGGTTGGCTGGCTGGCTGGCCGGGTGGCCGGTTGGGGCTGTGTGCGTCTGGGGCCACGGCTGAGCCGGCGAGCCACGATGCTGCTGAAGTTGTAAAGAGCTGTTCTGATTGGGCCATGCAGAATCCAAAAAGAAGCGCTAAGGCCCCGTAGGCAGAGCTGGCCGGCCTCGCCCGCAACTCCCCGGCTCCATATTACACATGAACACCTTGTACTACTCAGTCGGACCCTTGCTTCATCAAAGTCGGTATTGTCTGCTGTCAGCGATTCTCCCGGGTGACCTGTCACATCACCTCCTCCTACTGCCAGTTTTTCTAAAAGGGGGGTTTGCCACAGGTAGCCTGGACATAATATAGCGAAACAGAATGGTTTCCAATTAGCAAAGGTGTCAGACGAGTGTAAGAACATAAAAAGAGACCTGCTGGATCAGACCAATAGTCTTATCTAGTCCAGCATCCTGTCTCACACAGTGGCCAACCAGTTCCTCTGGACAGCCTACAACAGGGGCCCAGGCCTTGCCCTGATTGTTGCCCTCTGGCTCTGGGATTCAGAGGATCAGTGCCCCTGAATATGGAGGTTCTCCTCACTCATCATGGCTAGTAGCCATTGATAGATTTATCTTCCATGAATCTATCTAATCCCCTTTTAAAGCTGTTTATTCCTGTGGCCATCACTACTACATCCTCTGGCTGCGAATTCTACATTTTAATCACTCTCTTTGTAAAGTACTATTTCCTTTTGTCCATCCTGAATCTACTGCCCATCAGCTTCATTGGATGGCCTCGAGTTCTACTATTTTAGGAGAGAGAGAAATTTCTCTTTGTCAACTCTCTCCATCCCATGCATAATTTTATATCCAATTCAATCTGGCCTCCCCCCTCCACCTCCAAATGAGTCACTCTTATGTGTCTGTTGGGGTATAATTTATTTTAAAGTATTTAATGCTGTACTTATTTTATTGTATTTATTGTATGTATTTTGTTATTCTGTTTTTATGATGTAAATCTGCACTCAGCAGATTATTATAAGTTGGAACCCGCCCTGAACCTGCTGTGTGGGGAGGGTAGGATATAAATTGAAGGAAATAAATAAATAAATATAATTTCACCCTTAGTCATCTCTTTTCTGAACTGAAACAACCCAGGCCAGACTCTTCAACTTTTCCCTGTAGTGAAGCCGCCTCTGTCAGGCAGAAGCACCTGAGATCCTCCCCCTCCCCTTTTCCTTCGCCCGACTTGGAGGCGAAGGGAGAGGGGGGGAAGAATGGATCCCAGGTGCTTCTGCCTGTCAGAGGGGCTGGTGCACACTTCCGGTGATGTCAGGGGGTGTGGCATATGCTAATAAGTTATGCTAATGAGCTCCAGCAGCTATTTTTCTACAAAATGACCCCTGTCAGGGGTATTACAATATTGGCTGCTTTATTCTCAATCCCTTTCCTAATAATCCCTAACACAAGAGTTTGCCTTTTTCACCACTGCAGCACACTGGATTGACACTTTCATTGAGCTAACTGCTACGTCCCCAATATCTTTTTCCCTCTCAGCCTCAACAAATTCGGACCCCATTAGCCTATCCTTGAAGTTGGGATTTTTTGTCCCAATGTACATCACCTGACACTTAACCAACACTGAACTTCATTTGCCACAGTCACCCACCCGCAGTATGTGGAAGTCATCTTGGAGCTCTTCACAGCCTTGGTCTTCACCATCCTGAATAATTTTATGTCATCTGCAGACTTGGCCATTACACTATTCACCCCTGGTTCCAGAATCATTTATGAATAAATTAAATAGTATCAGCCAAAATACTGATCCTTGTGGGACCCCACTGCTGTGAGAACAGTTGTAAGAACTGTCCATTGATTCCTGCTCTTTTGCTTCCTGTCATTTAACCAGTTTTTAATCCACAAGAGAACCTGTCCTCTTATCCTAGGACTGCTAAGTTTACTTAGGAGTCTTTGGTGAGGTACCTTGTCAAAAGCCTTTTGAAAGTTCAGGTATATAATATCTACCAGGTCACCATTGTCTACATGATTCAGTTTCTCAAAAAGGTTGGCGAGGCAGGACTTCCCTTTGCAGAAGCCATGCTGATTTTTCCTCAGCAGGCTTTGTCCCTCAATGTGCCTAACAATTATATCTTTGATTACAGTTTCTACTACTTTGCCTGGGACAGACGTTAGGCTGACTGGCCTATAATTCCTGATTCCCCACTGGATTCCTTTTTAAAAATTGATATAATATTTGCTACTTTCCAGTCTTTTGGTACAGTGGCTGAATTTAGTGATAGGGTGGTTATAGGGTTGCCAGGTCCTACCTTGCTTCCGGCAAGGGGCTTCAGGCTGCTGGCTGGGACCTTCCGGTGTGTGCAATTTGCACGCGCACTGCAATTACGTCACCCAGAATGACATCTCAGCAGCCCTGGTGGGGCTTTTTGAACAGCAAAGCTTCTGACTAGCCCGTGGAGATTTGATTGTCTGTACAGATTTTTTTTAATTGCTTTTGCCACCGCAGTGCAGTGGGGGCCTTGGACACGTAGGGGCAAATTCCACCTCTCACGTTGCCGCTTGGACATCACACGTGAGAGGTCATTCTGGCTCCCCCAGCTCTCCTTCGGGGCTCCTTAAAAAGTTATGGCCGCCACCGCTGTTCTTGGCAGCAGCTGCAATGCCTGCAGGGGGCGGGGCGAAACGTTCTCTTCCTCCCTGAGCCCCGGGGTTGGCCTTGGACTCGTAGAGGCAAATTCCACCTCTCGCATATGATGTCCAAGCGAGACCTTCTGCCTGAAATGTTGAAAAGTTAGAGTTATGCACAGCTTCACTCCCTGACATTTTGTGGGTGGCTCTGCATCCCATGGCAAATGTTTTGTGGTTGGCTGTGCCTCTTGCCAACGTGGTGTAGTGGTTGAGAGCAGTGGACTCTGTTGGAAAAATTGGCAAAATAGTTAAATATTCAGAGATTGCAATGGATCTTTGCTTCACTGGAGAGCAGGCATTTTCTTCTATGTAAAAATCTTTATTTCTAAGGGGAAGGGTTCACAGGAAATATATAAAACAACAAAGACACCTAAGACTACATCTTTACACTTTGACCACAAGGTCTACAACAATGGAGATTCTTCTTCTTCTTGACCCCTAGAAGGAAATCACCTGAATGCATTAACCAATGATTGTTGGTAAATAGGCATCCGTTTCCCAGGCTCTCTTCCCATTGGCTCTGTGCCAGGTTCCCTTCCAGGTCAGTCTAAACAACAGCACACAAGGTAAACACACATTAACCCTATAATGACTGAATTTTAGACCTTGCAACACACATATTTCCAACAGACTCTGATCTGGAGAACCGGGTTTGATTCCCCATTTCTTCACATAAAGCCTGCTGGGTGACCTTGGGCCAGTCACAGTTTCTCTCATAACTTTCTCAGCCCCACCTACCTTACAAGGTGCCTGTTGTGGGGAGAGGAAGGGAAGGCGATTGTAAGTCATTTTGAGACTCCTTAGGGTAGAGAAAAGCTGGGTATAAAAACCAGTTCTTCTCTTCTCTTGTAGCAGTCATTTGGTAATTGCACCCACCACACCCAGTGTCAGAATTCCAAGGAATTCTGCGGGCTCAGAAAGTTTGGGGACCCCAGCACAAGGAGTTGACGACACACAAGACAAGACGGGTGTAAGCAATCAGAAATCTCTTGCAATGTAGACAAAGGGCAGGCATTACTACTGCAGTCATATATTCTAATCAGGTAAGTATTTCATGTACCTTCATTCAGTCAGAAACAGAAGTATATTAACTTTAAAAGACCCATTCGGATTCCACAAGCAATAAGCACTTAATATGTATTCCTTTATTCCGTTAATGGCACAAACCAATTGAGTTGAAAATAAAAGTTTTATTCACTATTCAGAACTTCACTAGTCTGGAACAAAGTTTTAAAGCTTTTGCTTTGTTGGTCAGATAATATAGACCTGTCATGGTTAATACTCTGATCAGCTGGTCTGTCATGGCAGCAGGCGACAAAGCTTCATTTTCAGTTTTCCAGTGGTCCAGTGCCTGTGTGACTTTCTCTTCTACTGTAATAGATCTAATGGAAAAACAGACAGACAAAATACTTGGCTAAAGCAGTGGGTTTAGATAGATTTTATTCCAAACTGAAGTAAACTATATCTAATGACACTACAATATATTAAAAATACAGCCAAATGAAAGCAATTCAAAATATCCTATGGAAAAAGGCATGTTGAACATCTCACTAACCTGTTGTTTTCAATAGATTTGTATACATCATTTTTAAGTTGCAGTCTTTGGCAAAAAAATTCAAAATTTTCAAAGGATATATTGCTAGCAATGATCTTCAATACGCTCTGCAGGATCTTATCTAGAAGAAACACATTGCAAATATTACAGGATAGTATATTTCAGTAATAAAATTTATGAAGTGTTGAAAAAGAATTCTAAGCAGTGTGGCTCTTAAAAATGTTGGGACAATATATGTTTTAAATATAGACAATGACATAAAGCTAGAAGCTAAAATTCAGTTTCCTTAATATTTCCAGAAATGTACATAGCTAGCAGTTACTATCACAGTAATCCATGTAATGGTCACCTCCAGACTGGACTACTGTAACTCGCTTTATGCTGGCCTACCCTTGAGACTAACCCAGAAACTCCAACTGGTCTAGAATGAGGCAGCGTGGGCCCTGATGGGAACATCATGAACAGCTCATATTCATCCTGTACTGCATCAGCTGCACTGGCTCCCAGTGGAGTACCAAGTCAGGTTCAAGGTTTTGGCATTGACCTTCAAGACTTTGAGTGTTCTGGAACCCATGTATCTTCAGGACCACCTCCTCTGGCATGTCCCCTGAAGAGCTTTACGGTCCTCTGGGAACAACTTACTGGTGATCCCCAGCCCAAAAGATATCTGGCTGTCCTCGACCAGAGCCAGGGTGGAACTGTCTGCCAAATAACATCTGCACCCTGTGGGACCGAATGCAGTTCTGCAGGGTGCACAAGGCAAAGATGTTCCACTGAGCTTCCAGCTGAGGGCAGCAATGGGCACCATCTGTCTGACACTCTTCCCCCCCCCTTCATCTTGCTCCCTCCCTATCTCTACTGCGAGACAGTAACATAATTCTGGAACTGAAGTTTTAGTGCCATCAGAGACTGTTTTAGTTATTGAGTTATCGGCACTGTTTTTAATGTACACTTTTTACTGTTGTTCACCTGAGCACAAACTTCACTACAAACATTCTCCTAGAAGATTTTAGGTGGTCACTTGGAAAAAAAATTGCTTGTGGTCTACTGTTTTATACCGATACTGATGAAAGGCATTTTCTTTCCCGGAATCCATTTGATGCATATGCTTCTGCTATTCTAGTATATGAGGAGACAAAGAACGAATAGCGGTGTCATGTATAGAGATGCAAGAAAGGCCCAAATAAGGGCTCCCACAATAGTGAGAAGGCCAAACAAAGTGTTCAGCAGTCCCCTCAGGATGGTGAGATATTCATGTTCCATGGCTACAACAGCGCAGCAGAACTTGAATAGGGAGAGCCTGTATCCAAGTTTCAGCGATAGCAAAATCTCTTCAGGAGAAGAGGACTCCTCAGGAGAAGAGAAGCCTCGTGTAATCAGCCTTGAGTTAACAGAAGCTGACCAGCAGAAGAATGAACTGCAGGTTTGTCAAGATTCACAGCCAAAAGCTGGTGCAGAGCCACCAAGACCTTCCAGCCCTGATTCAGCAGGTGAACCTCTGTTGGTCATTCCCAGCCCACCAATATCACCCACACCCTTAGAGCACCACAGACAGAGGCTGATAGCAGAGCTACAGACAAGATGACAAAGTGCACTCCTCCTGGCCTGACAGCAGCTGCTTGCTGATAACAACAATGAGTAGCTGATAAAAAAGATGAGCACGTTTGGTGTGGTGGTTAGGAGCACGGACTCCAATCTTGGAGAACTGGGTTTGATTCCCCACTTCTCCACACACAGTAGCTAGTGTGACCTTGTGTCAGTCACAAGTTCTTTCAGAGCTGTTCTCTCAAGAGCATTTCGCGGAAGAGCTCTCTCAGCCCCACCTTCCTCACAGGATGTCTGTTGTAGGGAAGGGAAGGAAAAGGAAATTGTAAGCTGCTCTGAGACTCCAAGAGAAGGGCGGGTATCTGGGATGGTCGTCCTCTTCCACTGAGCGTGCAGCTTTGGGAGGGACGCACTTGGAGCAGTGAGGGAGGTAGGGGACACCAGCCTAGCCAGCCAGATCAGCCGAATCAACCCTGGCGATCAATGGGGTGACAGATGTCGCAGCCAGATCGCCCTCACATCCGTGAAGGGCGGGTATAAATCCAATCTCTTCTACTTCTTTTTCTACTAGCTGCAGGATTACGTCTGATCAATTGGTTGTAAGCATGACCCTTAGGCATGGGCTGTAAAACCAGCCAAGAAAGGCTGTTAGGTGTGGACGCAGCGTGTATGATAGATGCTAAGCCACTGACACTGCCTTGCCTCTGGCCTTGGACCGAATAACTCTGCTTTGGACTGAACTACTCTGCCTTGCCTGACTTCTGGACCTCTGACCTTGTACTGAACGACTCTGTTTTGCCTGACTCCTGGACCCCCAAACTTGGACTGAACGACTCTGTTTTGCCTGACTCCTGGGCCCGTGAACTTGGACTGAATGACTCTGACTTGCTTGACTTCTGGCACCTGTTACTTGGAACCTGCAAGACAGTACACTGTAGCTTACTGACAGGTGTATAAGGAGAGTGTGAGCTGCGGGCCCCAGCATGAGACGACTGATCCATGAATTTGTGAGAACATATGAGAATGTAAAGTTGATGTGTCACAGAACAAGGCTGAATAACTGAGGAAGTGTTGCCATGTCTAAGATTTGACAGCTCTCAGGTATGGTTAACAGAAAATTATAAATAAAAAAAATATTAGGAGTGTCAGAATCTATGAAAAGTAATCAAACTTACTCTTAACTTACCATCTCTTTCATCCGCACATTGTAAGTAGCGTGTAATGGTGAGTATTTGTTTTCCTTTACAGACTTCCAGTGGAGGTCGAACCAGAGGATTTCCATCAAAATCTATATCTTTCAAGGACTGAAGAAAGTGCAGATCACTTGGCAAAGCTAGAATCTTATTGTCTGCCAAAACAAGTACACACAATTACATCAGTGTTCTGTTCATCTCTTTGGTCACAAATAAGCATCTGAAACCAGCTATGAAAGAAGTCTTTGGTAAGAAGTTGCAGGGCAATGTGTGGATAACTTCTTTGATTGTTTTCCTCTGTTGTGCAGTGTCCATTGTTACAAGGGCTGGCTACCTCCAGGTTTGCAGAAAAATCTGATTTTTTAAAAGTTGGTGTAAACCCCACCACCACTCAGGTTGCCAGCTCTGAGCTGGGAAGTACCTAGAGATTTGGGGGGGGGGAGGCTGAGGAGGGTGGGCTTTTGGGAAGGGGAGGGACTTCAGTGGGGTATAATACCATGAAGGCCACCTTCCAAAGTGGCCATTTTCTCCAGGTGAACCGATCTCTGTCACCTGGAGATCAGTCGTAAACCCCACGAGATCTCCAGCCACCACCTGTAGTTTGGCCACCCTAACCCACCACTAAGTTAAAAAAATACAGAGTTTCAGTGCCATATGGAAAAGGAGAAGGTTAAGGGGGAGGAAAGCAGAGGTGGACCCAGCAGGAAAGAGGTAACAAAAGTAGAGCTGGAGGGGAAGGCCAGGCAGGTAGGAAATAGTTTATTCCACCCTAGTGAGTACCTCTTCCTTAAATATACTGAGAGGTAGCCTACCTTAGGCTGAAGGAAGTTCCTCCGTTGTAAGAAGCAGCCCTCCATGTTAAATGGCTGTTCCATAGGAAGAAGTTTGCTAAGTAGACTGGTAGGATACAGGTCAATAGATTTTCACTGGATAGATGGCAAAACCGAATCTAACCTATCTGAAGGAGGGAGATTAATCCAGATGCTCTTTTCCCCTTTATATGTTTTGTTACCTGGAAGCAACCCTGTATGTGTTGTCCATTAGTGTGTATTATCATTGGCTGACTATATATATTGACAGATGCTCACCTCTCAAATTCAGGCGCTGTAAACTGTAGAGTGAAGAAAAACTTTTGGGAAGCTTTGTTAAACAGTTGTCATTTGCTGTTAAGGTGAACAAAGTTTTAATCTCCCCTAATCCTTCTGGCAATTCCTTTAATTCGTTATGAGATACATCAAGTTCTTTCAAGGAACTCAGCTCAGATATCTTTTCTGGAAGTTGGCTTAACTGAGAATAGAAAGGACAGTGTTTATGCAGAAGTCCATCAACCCTTAACCAATATCAGATCCTGGACCTGTCATATTTGTAAGTCATCCGGGGGAGCATACATGTCTGCTGCCTCAGGATTAAAGATAGGAAAGATAGGGAAAAAAAATTTTTTTATTCTGTTTTCACTTATTATGTTATTCCTCCAACCTTTTTAATTGCAAAGGAATAATACCCTGTATTTCTTTCTTTGCCAACTGAAAATTTACTTTAGCTCTTTTCTTGAAATATCATTGGCTGTTTCCACATGGATGTTTTGCTCTGTCTTCAGTTCCTTAAGAAGCACTGATTTGGAGAGCACCCACATGATGCTGTTTGTCCTGCTTCTTTGTTTTCCCTGCTTTGGTCTCTTTCCCAAGCCTGGTTTGGTATGACTGTTTGTTAGCCGCCCTGAGCCGCTGGGTAGGGCGGGATATAAATCCCAAAATAATAACATAATTTTTTTTTCTGGAAAGATCGCACCTTTGGACATTGTGTAAAGGGGATGGTGAGCATTTTTGCAGGTCCTGCTCTAATTGGTACCAACTCCCATGGTCACCATTGTAATCTATTGCAATATTGTACTCATTCCTCATCTTTCAGTTTTAACAAAATTAAGTCTCTAGCCCTTTTTCTTGTAGAGTTATAAGGCAAACTAGAAATAAGGCCCGTTGTGGAAATAAATACAACGGGATCTAGAAAGAGGCTCTGGGAGAGTGCTCTGGCTTTGGGTAAACAGTGTCAGTCTGCTTTTAAAACATGAACCTGCACACCACCAGAATACAGCAGATTCCATATGCAACTGAACTTCCAACTGCCTTGCGGGGGGGGGGGTTGAGGTGAGGAATGGAGTGAGGTCCAATCAGCTTCCATATGCAAAAGACCAGGTTGTCGCAACAGTTGTGGTGTGGGCAGGACCCGGGCTTTGCCTTCTGATTGGTGGCGATATATGCTGAGGAACAGTGCCGTCAGCCATACACTAAGGGAGTGCATTTTAGAATTAGAACTTTGGCACCCACTATTCAATTATATATAAGGAGGGATGTGCAGGCTGTATAATTGTAACGGTTTTAATGTCTTTGTGTGCTGTGGCTTATACCTGCTTTTGTAAGTCATCTTGAGCTCTCATTTGACAATGGGAAAAGTGCAGTAGAACTATTCTAATAAATAAATAATGTCAAATTTAACTACTTAAATTATTTTTATGCTTTTATAAATGCAAACTTGGTTACTCTTTTTTATTTTGAACTAAAATATGATTATAAATATGAAGGTATGTACAGCAGATAATTTTATAAATATAAAAGTAGCACCTTACCTTTAATCCATTTTTTTGGCACAGTATTAGCTTCTCCAGTAATGAAAGTTGGCATATTTCATTTGGAAATGATACAAGGTAATTGTTTGACAAATTTAAGTCTTTTAGCTCTTGCAACTGACAAACCTCTGAAGGTATGATCTTGATCTGATTTTCTGAAAGATCAAGACTCTTAAGATGGTTAAGAGCACATATCTCACTGGGAAACAAAACAAATTTGTTATGGTGTAAGAGCAGAACTCGAAGAGACTTCATATATTTCACATGTATTGGGATACTACTTATTGAATTGTTACTTAAGTCTAAGTAGCTCAGGTTGGTAAGAGTGCATAAGTGTATGGAAAATGAGGGCAATTTGTTCTGACTTAGATTTAGATACTGCAGGATTGTAATGAATTTAATTTCAGGAATTATTTCAGAAATATAATTTCCACTGAGATTTAAATGTTTAAGAGCAGCCAGTGCACACAATCCAACTGGAAACAGAGCCAATTTGTTGTAACTTATGTCAACTCTAGTAATTTCTGTACAACTTTTTATTTCAACTGGAATGTACATTAATGAATTTCCTGATGCTTCTATAACTGAGAGAGATTTAAAGAATGCTATTTGTTCATCTAAGTAGATCAGTTTATTTCTGTTTATGCTAATTTCCCTTAGATATCTTAGCTTGTGCAGATCGCTGGGTAGCTCTTTTAGCTGATTGTCATTAAGGATCAGACGTTCCAGCATGGTACAACTACAAAGATTATCTGGAATGCTTTTCAATAAATTTTTGGCAAGATTGAGATTTTGGAGTTTTTGCAAGCTCTCTACCTTATCTGAAAGACTTTCCAACTGGTTATCTTTTAAGCTCAGTTTTTCTAAATTGATCAATTGAAAAAGCTGTACAGGCAGAAATATAAGCTTGTTGTGCTTCAGTGAAAGTTCTTTTAACATTTTAAGTTCCTTAATTTCCTTTGGTAAACTTTTGATCTGATTTTTTGACAAACTGAGTTTACTTAGATTCGGAAGATAGCACAGAACCTTTGGGAATATTGAAATACAACTGGATTCCAAGCAAAGCACAGTCAATTTTTTCATGCTAATGATACTCTCTGGCAAAGTTAATTTGTTCCCACTGAGATCTAAAATTTCCAGTCTTACAAGACTTTCCAATGAAGAAGGGAACTCCTCAAAGTTGTTATGGCTGATCAAAAGGCACCTGAGATTCTTCAGTCTTGAAAATTCATAGGGAAGACATGATATTTGGTTGTGACTGATGTTTAGCGTTCTTAAGTCTTGAAGTCGGGAAATTTGTGGAGGTAATGATGTTAACTGATTTCCTTCCATGGATAATATGTCTAGGTTTGTCAGTGTACCTATTGCTTTTGGAATTATTTTTATTTCATTGTGGTTTAATTGCAAGTATTTTAACCCTTTGATATCAAAAATTCCTGTAGGAATTTCCGTCAGTCCTTTAGCATTTAACTGAACTGTGTAATCATCCAGCATCAATTCAGAAAGCATATCTATTGATACCTTTTCAGTTGGTTTAGCATTCTCGATAGATTGTAGTAAGGTTTTTCTCACTTGCCCTTCAAAAAAATCAGAAGGGATTTCACATAATCCTTCAGCATACATATAAGCCATGAGATCAGTATCCTTTGTTTCAGGCATTGAAGTAACTGGAATCTTTTGTGATATTTCAAGTTTCTTTGGAGAGTGCAGAGTATTTTCTTCTGAATCTCTTTGAGAAACCTCATGAGCACTTTCCAATAGATCTGTAAGGTTCTTCAGGAATTCGCCTGACTTTTGTTCCTGCTGTCTGCTGCTTGAGGAACTCTCTGCCATTTCAGAACTTGTCCCTGATTGTAATATATCTGGATTTGTGTGCATCTCAGGAACTTCTGAGATTTTGCCCATTTCATTAGCATTAGAACCAGCTCCTTGGCTTTCAGAAATCTGAGAGATTTCCTCCTCATCCTTTGAAATTGAAGTGGCGTTCCATTCCTCTTCTTTTTCACCAGACATACTTTCCAAAATAATTTTTACTAATTAGGTTGACAGGTACGACTCTGTACTTTCCAGTATTTTTTGAATTTGAAAAATACAAAAAACAAAAACAAAATAAAAATGTATGGAGTGGATTTAATTAAACTAAACATAAATAATTTAATTATTATTAAACCAAACTCAGTATTAGCAAAACTAATATAATATTTGATTTAATTCATGACAAAGTATGCCAAAAGTTGAACTGGTATTCTAAAAACTGCTACATTTAAGGATTAGAGAAACTAATTTACAACACAAGTTAATCATAATAAGTTTTTTCAAAAACAACTAATATACATATTTGAAAACCTAAAGCATTAGCATCTTTTAAAAATGTCGATGAAATTCCCTTGTAGTTATCACTAAATTAAGTTGCCTGATTCCTGTATCGTGGGTTGAAAGGCAAGCTATTTGTCTGAAGAGCTCTACTTAGATTCCGTTTTGTTTATAGATCTCATTCCATTTTAATGTTAAACTTGTGATAAGCAGCACATTTCCTTCACATCACTCTCACCTCATAGAATTTGTAACTGCCAGTGCATTTGAAGTGAAAGTTCCAACCTGGCACAACCCTTATTGGCTGATTTGACATGACCAGTCCAGTTCTGTTTTGCTTAAGTATAGCAGCCTTGAGAATACCACTTCAGCTTGTGAGCATATTTTTGTCAGGTATTACGTCAAACAGTTTCTCTGCTTGGCTAGTAATTAACTGATGGGCACACAGCGTAGACTGATATAAATTAGTAGACACATCAACCTGTAGATTATCCAAGTAATCTAAATAACGACATGTCTTCAGAGTACTCCACAGTCTTTCTAGGTCTTCGTCCTTACAACAACCTTGTGATTATAAGAAACTGTTGTCCCCATTTGTTTAAGATATGTGAAAGGCCTGGTGAAGAATTAATGCTTAATAATGGCTAGTGCAAAGTTAAGATTTTTTTTTTTGCCCTAACCTTTATGAACACCTTAACCATACAGTGAAACCATGATTCTGTTTGCTAAGCTTGGCCTCTTGAGGGCATTTATAGGCAGATAGTAACAAAAGTTTGGGCACAGGAAAGTACAGAAATAGTCTTAACCAGGACTTGTTTGGTACAGATACATCCTAAACCATGGTTAATACTTAACTGAGGCTAGGAAAAACATCTGAGTAAGTGCCAAATGACTATAAGAAGCCATCCTCTGACTCATGCCCAAGCTCAAAAATGTTCACCAGAACACCACTACTCAAGGTTAGATTCTTTTCCTTCTGGTATGAGAGCAAAATATATTAAAAAAAAAATAAAAAGACACCGCTCTCTAAATCTGAAAGACTATAAGCATCAGTAGCAGGCATAACTAAGAAAAATTGTCGATTAACAGCTTTCTGTTGAACTATTAAAAACTCCACCTGGCCATCATCACAATGAGTTTACTTGACAGTAATAGCAAGGCCCCTGACCTGGATGCTCCAGGCTGGGCCCATCTGATCTGATCTTGCAAGCTAAGCAGGGCCAGCCTTGGCTGGTACTTGGATGGGAGACCTCCAGGGTTGCTATCCAGGGTTGCTATGCAGAAGCAGGCAATGGCAAACAACCTCTAGTCATTTCTTGCCTTGAAAACCTTTGGGGTTACCATAAGTCAGCTGTGACTTGACAGCACTTTCCATCACCGATGAGAAGGGAATTGTAAGAAATATCAACTGTAACACTGTCAAGATTTGCACTGGCCTAGCCTCATTTGGGAGGAAGACTCCTGTAAGGCTGAGGAGCTTCACCACGATCCCAATCATACCAAAAGCCCCTGACTCCTCTAGGGCAGCGATACTAAGTGGTTTTGGAGCCATCTGCGGTTCTTCTTTATAGCATTATCCAATGTGGCACCCGCCCTGTGTTTCAGGAAAGCATGCCAGGCCTTTGCTTGGTGGGGATTACGGTTGGCAGTTGGTTCCCACACAGAAACAGCTGCTGCTGGACAGACAGAAAAGCTGCTATCCTCATGGGGGTACAAGTAAATGTGGCTGTTTTGGTTGATGGTCATTGTGAATATGACTCTCCACAACCCACATGGTGAGTACTATTGGTCTAGGGGAACACCCCCTGCCTTATCCACTACAGCAGGCTCCCATTCCAGAAGCCATGGAATAAGCAGACCAGGAACTCTGAGTGCATCAGTCCACCTCCAGCAAACCCTATGGGCTCCCCCAGGACCAAAGAAGGCAGACAGCCAACGCCAAAGCCAAAGCCTGGACTCCTGGCACCTCAAGGCATCCCATACTTCAGTTTCATGCAGCAGACAGAACTGTTCTGTATATATTAATAGGATCTAAGACCTGTGTCTGGGTACAGGTATGGGTAGAGCTACATAAGCCTTTCACTGAGCTCCCTGAACTAGCTTGGGCAGTTTCCTGCAGCAAGACTCCTGCTATCCAGCTTTTGAACCAAAGGTCTGCTCCAGCCTGGCCTGATCTTGGCCACCTCTGCCTCTTTTTCTGAGTGCACAAGTAGATAATGAGACAAACATGCAACCATATCATATAGCCTGTAACACTACAGGGTTTCACCAGTTTTTACATGTGATAAAAATAAACAATAGCGCACAAGAAGTGCTATTTCTGCTGCAGATAAAAGAGTACCATTCATGGCCATTTGCAACTGGACTTTCTGGGCATGGAGCAGGAGTCACTGTGTGTGCGTGGGGAGTATTTGTGAATTTCCTGCATTGTACAGGGAGTTAGACTAGATGATCCAGGAGATCCCTTCCAACTCTATGATTCTATGGGTACTTCAGGTATATTTAAATTAAATATAAGTTTAAATTAATTATATCTGATTGTGCTTTGCAGTGTATCTCTGCATCCTGACTCCAGCTGGGCCTTCTTTGCTGCACCCCTCCCACCTTCTGACCTGGACAGAAGGACATTCATTCTATCTGTATCTAATGAAGTGAGCTTTGATGCAGGAAAACTTATACCCTCTCTTGTTGACTATAAAGGCCACACCATTTTTTCTATGAGATTCCTGGCCACAGTAGTAGATATAATGGTCTTCTGAGGGGGATTACAAGTGCTAATTTAAGTTAAATAGTGAATTCTCTTTAATGAAACCAGATGAGGTTACAGTTCCCTGTCAGCATCACTGAAATGCATGAAGAGCCCCCCTACAATGGTAACTACAAAGCAATGAATTATAATTGTGACAGCAACTGTAACGCCTTACTAGGGCAACAGCACACCTAGAGTATCTGGGATTTTGGACCCCTGGAGGTTTTCATTAGAAAGGCCCATTCATTTCCATTCCACATTGAACTATCCTGGCAGAATTAAGCCCTTTATAACTAAGGACAATCCCGTTTAGACGGCACCATCTATTTGTCATGGAAGTTCAGAGCCATTACCAGATGCTCGATGGAGGTGGGAATCTCTCTTATATGACTTTGACTAGTAACAGTAGCATCTGACACCATACATGGGGATTTGCGTGGGATTGGAGAAATCAGTTTGTCACTCTTAGAAAGGAGGCTGGCTTAGGTCCAATTCGGTTTACCATAAATATCTGGACATTTGGGATTTTCTGTTGTCTTCCGTTTGCAATCTTCAGCAGAAAATGAGTCCACAGGTTGGGTAGGAGTTAATGACTCCTAATGAGCTCTTCCACCAGGCCTTCAACTAGGAGCTGCCCACCACTACCACCAACAACTACCATCATTAACATCTGCGGTGGTGGGATGGCCCTGAACCCTGATCGAGCCACAGTGTTGTGGGAGACCGATATACTGCTAAATTGGGATTGCAAGATTATATATATCTAATAGCACGCCACCTTAACCCATTGAAGAATGTCTACTGCGAGCACTTTATAAGTTTTTAACTTTCTTTTAAATGTTTTATGTCGCCCGGGCACATTGTGTCGGTAAATGTGAGCCGCACTGAGCCTGTCAAGGGTAGGGCGGGATATAAATATAATAAATCAATAAAATGACTCCCTTCAACCTCTTTACTGCAAGGAACTCTGCTACTGCTCTGCTACAGCCTTGGTAATATGTGTTTGGCTTAGTTCAATAGTATTGCTTTTCTTTTTAACATCTCTGTTCTGCTGTTGCTCTGTGCTTTCCCCTATATTTTGTTTTTGCCATTTTCCCACCACCTTTGGAATTCAACCATTCTTTTCCTCCCCCTCCCCTTTCATAATACACCTTTTTAATAAAGTAATTTTTCTGTCTTTGTTTAATACAACTTATTTCTCTGGGATATTTCTCTTAATCTCTTCCTCATGTGCTACTGCATGAGTGCTACTGGTTGGTTATAGGGTGTTTTCTAGAGTTTCTACCCTGTCACTTTATCATTGATCTAGTACTGCACTGGAAGAGTGCCTTCTCAGTGGGTCAGTCTAGATGTTCTCAGGAGGTCCTGAATGGTGACAGGAGGTTACCACAGGGAACCCTGGGCCTAAAGAGGTTTCCCAGCAAGGAAAGACACCATTTCCCCCTTCCTACCATAACGATAAATAATTATAATGAATTATAATTTCAGAGTTACTGGAAATTTGAACGTGCGATATCCCTCTTCACCACCACCCCAGCTGAATATGGACAGTGGATTCTTATCTTATTAAGTAAAGGTAAAGGTTTCACTTGCTTGAAAGCCAGTCAAATCTGACTTTTGCAGGCGGTGTTCATCTCCATTTCCAAGCCGAAGAGCCAGCGCTGTCCGAAGATGCTTCCATGGTCATGTGGTCTGCATTACTAAATACCGAGGCACACGGAACGCTGTTACCTTCCCACTGCAGTGGTACCTAGTTATCTACTTGCAATTTCTTGCTTTTGAACTGCTAGGTTTGCAGGAGCTGGGGCCAGAGACGGGAGCTCACTCCATCACACGGCACTAGGGTCTCAAACTGCCGAACTACCGACCTTCCAGTCTGCAGCTCAGCCTCTTAACCTCTGAGCCATCGCAGCCCCTCTTATCTCATTACAGGTGCTAATTTAAGTTAAATAGTGGGTTGTCTTTATACAATGGCTCAGTGGTAGAGCATCTACTTGGCATGCAAAGAAGGTACCAAGTTCAATTCCTGGCATCTCCAGAGAAAGGAGAAAGTAGTGGGTGATGTGAAAGTTCTAAGACCTTAGAGTACCGCTGCCATTCTAAGTAGACAGTACTGGTCTTGATGGACTAATGGTTTGATTCGGTATAAGGCAGTTTCTGATGTCTCACAACTTGAGCAGTACAGCCTTCTCAGGGGGTTTTCCTGTCGAGCATGAGCTGTGCTAAGCCAACGCTCTCTAGGTGTGTCAACGCACGACTACTGAGGAGAGCTTAAATCATCTTTATTTAACTTCACACGCATTCAGAAGATCGTTTACTCACAATCAAGCTGATAGCTGGGTGGAAAGTTACATCTTGTAATCTAGGTCAGTTCTATAGCCGTGGTGAGAAAAGAGATGGGCTTCCCCTCTCCTTGCAGTAAGGGTTGATGGACAAAGAAACGGAAAAGAACAATAAAACTCCTATCTTTGCGCCTCTGAGCTCAGGAAATTATTCTTAATGAGCCAGTCAGAGGGAAGCTTCTGGGACCCCTAACTGTGGACTCCAATTCCCAGGTGAAACTACTCTTAAAGGTACATTAACGCTGGCTGGGGGCAGCACAGGGGGCAAGACTTATATTGTAAGGAACCGTTAAACAATACTAATAAAAAGGCACAGGAGAGTATATGAATCCTAAATTCAACAACAAAGGCTTACTTAAAATGAAAGTTTTATTTAAAAAAATTATATAAAAAGTCATCTGTAAGCATTTATACAAATGAGGTATTTCAAAAATACGTACACAAAATAAATTAGAACTAAAATGAGTTTATAAGTAAAAAAAAATGAAATATGCTGAATTCATTAAACACTGAGTATTATTCAAGGCAGCTTTTAGCAACTCTTTCCATACAGTACTCTGGATGTATAGTGAGACTTTTATTTTCAAACTGAGTTATAAAGCAAGGGTGACAAACGCTAACTAAAATATTATCTGGTTTCCAATAAGCCTTGTGTATTAAAGAAAAGTGCACATTTTGTTCCTGATCTCCCCCTCTACCTGCAGCCTCTTATTCTTTACTGGAAGGTTTCTAGACTCTCAGGGGCTGTGAAGGATCACAGAACAAAAAGTTTCCAGTATCTCCAAAAAGCCCTTGTGTGTGCCTGCTTTCAGCTCTCAGTCCGAGAGATCAGTTTGCAGTTACCAGATTGAACTAGGGCTACTGTATGGCACTTGCTCCTACATTGCCTACTAAAAACTATACAACATATACTTACTCTAGAATCTATTAGGCCCTGTAAATAACTCGGTCTTATTTAATATTCGTACACTTGAGTTTACATACGCACTCGCACTACACAAAATATTATTCTCCAATAAAGCATCAAAAAAGGAGGCAACAAGGTATTTACACATTTACCAAACAATGCAGCTTCTGAAATTCAATAAGCTTAGCATATTATCCCTGTACAACTCATACACATGTAAGGCTTTATAATACGGACATTACAAAATTTATAATACAGGCATTACAAAATTCATGACATAGCTATTCTTATTTCAGTCATTTCTTTCACCAGGAATCAACTGGCTGCTTAATTTCATCAGTAGTTTCACGACGAGACCGGCCTAAACACAAAACACAATTGAAAGGTCAGGATTTTCCAAACACAAATAACTGCCTGCTTTAAATCACCAAATATTTAAGGCTGCAATCCTGAAAAGTAGTCAACGGGATGGGAGTTTGTGACAGCATAAAAGTTCAAGTCTTTTGTATGTATTTTTAAAAATTGCTGGCAACTTAATTATTATCATAGTAGACATTTAATGTTAAAATGAAAACCCTTAATACGTAATATCTAACAGTATCCATTACTCACATTGTCCACAAACAAATGTGGGGAGAAAAGAATAGTGGAAACATTTCCAAGTGGAATTCATGGGTTCTTAAGAGATATAGCTCAGATATAAGAGCAAATCATGGCTGGCTCCACACCATGGTTTGCTTTTCAGATGTACATTCAAATAATGGTTTAGGTGTTCTGAATCCTTGCCTGTCTCAAAGCATTGTTCCATGCATAGGTTAGTATTAATTTTTTTACTGAAGCCAAGCCCAAAGTCTTGCCCTTTTTGGAGATCTTCAGATTACACTTCACAGGATCAAAGGTCAGGTACATTATGTCAAATGTATAGTGTTCTCCCTGACTCTTGCCTTAAAATGATGATTGTGAGAGGTATGGAATACACATGGTGGTTTAACAATGGTTGCTAACAGATAGTGCTTCCAACACTAACATACAAGTGCCTTATCTCTTTTCCTGAGACCTAAACAGCATTTCTATTTGCCCTAAGTCTGGTTGTACATGTAACTCTAGTACTGAGATTTATCTGTACACAACATTCATTAGCGTGTTTACCTGTTTTGTATGCACTGTAAAGCTCATTTTGTTTCCCAGGCTATGAATCTGAAAACAGGTATCTCCATCTCCCAACTGCCACATGAAGCAACCATATTTTAAACTTATGAGCAAAGCCTGAAATACAAAAGAAACAAACTCAAAGACCAGAATAAACTGAGTTGATAGACATCAGCATCATAAATAAAGCTAAGTTGGAAAAACTAGTGGGCAATACCCTTCCCCTGGTACCAACATCTTACATTAACTAAGTTGCCAATGCACTAACCAAACCCCTTACTGTCTTTGAGACTTCATTAAAATATACCAAGAATAATGCTTCTGGACTGATCTCCAAGATTTATTGTATCTTTTTGAACTCTGAAAAACGATACTATCATACCAAAAGGCCTGGCAATTAAGACTGTAATATCTCTAAAGCCCAAATGGAGTGAAATCTGGAACTCCAACATCTACTCAACTAAAGTGATTAATCTTAAAATGCCATCCATAAAAATCCTCACTCACTAGTATCGTACCCATGTGAAACTGCACCACATTAATCCTGCTGCCTCCCCTAGATGCATATTTACACTGTTGGTGCGGTTGCAGATATATCCACAGTTTTTGGGTAGATGTACTCCCACAGATTAAAAAAAAACCCAAGTTATTCCGTTCCTTTCCTTCCTGAAACAATCCTTCTCAATTTATGGACTGATCATTCAATCCCGGTATTTAGAAGAAAATTGATTGCCAATCTTCTCACAGCAGCAAAATCTACAATAGCAGCTAACTGGAAAGCTGCTAATCCACCTGAACTTTCTTCCTAGAAAAATCACTTATGGGACCAGAGGTCATTTCAGGGGGGATCGCGGGGGATCGCGGTTCCCCCGGGTGAGGTACGGGGGGCAGGGCACATGACAAAGCCCCGCCCCCGCTTCCGGCCGCCCCGCTTCCGGCCCTCATTCAGCCAGGAGGAGGCAGGAGAAGAGGGAGGGTAAGTTGCTTCCTCCCGGGAGGGCCTTCGCGGGGCTTCCTTGCACTTCCGCCGGCCTTGCAGGTCCACCGCCAGGCCTCTCATGGGGCTCGGCATTGGAGCTGCAAGGTCGGCAGCGGCGGCCGGGACCGTTGGGGGCGGGGTGTGTGGCCTTATGACACACTTCCGGTGATGTCAGGGGGTGTGGCCTTATGACACACTTCCGGTGATGTCAGGGGTGTGGCATATGCTAATGAGTTCCCCTAGCTCTTTTTCTACGAAACGACCCCTGTATGGGACTATTTCATAATGGGGAAACTAACAGATAGGGTATCACACAATGGAATCCCAAAGCTTTTGAGTCCAGTTTTATGATGCAAAGGCTTCCAGTACTGGAATATCTAACAGACCAGAAACAGACCAGAAAACAATGTTAACTGATTCTTACTACAATCTGCTAATTTATTCATAATAGTTATATGCCTACTTGTTACTTCTTCATGCATCGACCGTGGAAGTTACAGTTAAAATTGTTTGTTGTCTGTTAGAGACTGGATTTGCTATTTGTTTAATTTTGTTTTGCTGTATGTTGGTTTTGTTTACTGTTCATGTTCATAAAAAACAAAAAAAATAGCATGGTGTTCCATATAATAAAGAACTTCTATTTGTCTTAATTCTGAAAAAAACAAATAGATGTCTGACATATATTCTTAGTCCTGGAACTAAGGATGGGGGAGAGGAGACAGTCTGATGATTTGTAATGAGTAATTTTCATAATTAGAAAACAAACAAACCCTAAATGAATACCTCATTGACAGAAAACAGGGGCCAAACCTTTCAAAACAACTTGGAACCTGATAGAGATCAACATATGAATTCTATGCTACTTATGTTGTGCCCACTTTTAACAAAGTACTCCCCATGAAAGCATTATGTCTTCTTCGTGGACTCTGGATATCACACTAATGGAACATCCAACCCAAACAAGGAATAATTAAAAAAGAAAAGCCCAGTCCAGAGGTACACTTGCAGCACACTGAAGCTACTTTCGGTGCTTTCCTATCAGTAACTGCACTGTATGCTTTCCTCAGTTGAAGGATAAGGAATTAAAGTTCCTGAGCTTGCCTCCCCAAGTCACTTTCTTTATCAACACCTTTGTGCCAAAACTCTGAGAAGTTAAAAACAATTGGAGAAAGCAGCATCTTAAAATAAGTAATGTACAGCAAGCATGTGCCTCTGTTTCATATCCTGTCAGCAGGGTCATTGTTTGCTACTTAAAATAGCCGTAAGGCCAGTGAACGTACCTTGGTTTCCATATTTAGAAGATGCAGTCCTTTGACATTTACGCCTACGTACACTCTGATGACTTTATGATTGCTTGAGCTTGCTTTTGTAAATACTTGTCCTGTGAAAAAAGCAGCTCCATAGGTTGGGATCTCCCAACAGTTCTGCAGAAACATGCGCTGCAGGTGATGCATCTCTTTACTCACACCCTCACTAGTACTGAGACTCTGAAAATACAAGGCAACATACCCCCAAGAGACAGTGCGTTAACTCTCAGTTTGATTCTGTTTCTTTAAGCAGAATAAAATAAAAATGCATTTTTAAGGAAGCTACATGTAACAATTATAAGGAATTCAGGAATGAAGAAGTAAACTGATCACAAAGCTAAATTTTACAAATCATAAATAATGGGTTAATATCAAATAAAAAGCAAAAGATTTTTTAATCAGTACATTTATAGTATTTAATTTTATTTCTAATAGATTTGATACTGGTACCACAGACAACAGCTTGGATCCAAAATAGTGTTTCTGGGACTGCAAGGATTCTGCCCATGAAGCATGATTCCCCCACCCATGGTAGTCCCCAAATCCTGTACCTGTGCGGTCCCCACTAACCCAGGAATAACATTTCATTACACTCTGCAGGTAGAAGCCCTTGTACCTGCAGATTTGTTATTCTGGATCCAATCCATGATATTTTAAACTCAAATGTATTTACCACCTCACATCTTCAAAAATAAAAACAATGCCTAAACAATCTGCACTAGGCGCTATTTTGTATCTGTTATATTACTGTCAACGTTACTTCCATAAAATATAGGGCCATTTTTAAGGACAGGATTTCCACAAAGAGTTGATGGGTGTTCTCACCTTGTACTCGTGAAGTATTCTGTTTGTCCAGTGTGGTGCCTTACTTTTTAATTTTGTGACTGGTACTATAGATTTTAAGTTTTCTTCACTGAAAATAAAATATCACAAACATTGACTGTTTTTACTATACTTTACAAATATGAAACATTTTTGTCCCAAGAACAGATCCTGGTGTGCAATGGGAAATCACACACCTACTCCTGCATGTGATGATCTGGTTTCAGTGGGTAGTCCTTAAATTCAGCTCTGATTGATGGGGAATGGCAGAATGCCCACAGTCAGTGACCAGCTCCAAACAGCTATTTGGTGCATGAGGTACCTCAGCTGCTAGATGTACCTTGTTTCCTACAATGAAGAATCCTTATTCTATATATACCTCTCTCATCTTTATCACAAGGTGCAGCAAACAAGATCTAAAATAAAGTAATGCAATAAAATGTAACTTTTGTTACAAAACTAACTAAATCTTCCATTAAAATCAGCCAACTTTGTACATATTGAGCTCAGTTAGGATGATTGTGTCATAGAGATTTGCTACATATGAGCAATACTTCTTGTAAGATTTTATTTAAAACATGCGCACCCCGATTTTTCAGTTTTAAAACATGCAAGGCAGTTAAACGAACATGAAATTACTAAACTTAAAATAATCACAACATCATAAAAACAAAACAACATAATGGCAAAGAAATCAGCCGGTAGAAGACCAGGAAAATAAGTCTTTCTTTACTTGGGATCTGAAGAACAACAAGCTAGGTGCCAAACAAGTGCTTGGACTAGAGAGTATACCACAGCCATGATGTCACAGATGAAAAGCTCTTGTCCATAGGCTGCTGGTCACCTAGGCTCTAAATGTAGGGGTGTTGTTGTTCAGTTGCACAGTCGAGTCCGACTCTTCACGACCCCATGGACCAGATCCCGCCAGGCCTTCCTGTCTTCCGCTGTCCTCTGAAGTTTGCTCAATTTCATGTTAGTTGCATCTATGACACTGTCTAACCATCTCATCCTTTGCCGTCCCCGTCTTCTTTGACCTTCAATCTTTCCCAGCATGAGGGTCTTCTCCAGTGAGTGCTCCCTTCTCATTTGGTGGCCAAAGTACTGGAGCTTCAGTTTCATTATCTGGCCTTCCAGGGAACAGTCAGGGTTGATTTCTTTTAGGATTGACTGATTGGATCTTCTTGCAGTCCAAGGGACTCTCAAGAGTCTTCTCCAGCACCATAATTCAAAAGAATCTATTCTTCGGCGCTCGGCCTTCCCTATAGTCCAACTCTCGCAGCCATACATGACTACTGGGAATACCATTGCTTTGCTAAGCAATGTAGGGGTACCCAGCATAGAATCTTTGAAGATAATCTCAATGAATGGGCAAAATCGTATGGGAACAGCAATCTTTTAGATCACACCAGCAGCTGTATGTGGAGGAGTGGGGAATCACACTCGGTCCTCCCAGATCAGAGTCCACACTCCTAACCACTACACCAAACTGATAACACCAAATTGATAATCTGCTGACTGAGCTGTTCAGTACCTGAAGCTTGGCAAAGGCAGCCAACATGGCAAAAGCCAAGCAGCATGTGTAAATCCCCCATCCAGGTCAGCATACAACTGTGCTACCTTCTCATTGAGTTATTCAATAACTTTCCCCCTGATCTCTACATCATACTCCAAGCTTCATAATAAAATCATCAATCAACCGTGTCAAAGGCAGTTGGGAGATCCTGAAAAATTCGTATAGAGGCATTCCCTTTCCAATCTGTATGTGCGGTTTGGCCAAACTAGACCTGAAGTGAGACCAAAAAGACTTGAGGACAGAGGAGTCATCCAGGAAACTCTGGAGCCAACAAAAATGCTTCTGTCCTGTGGATTCTTAATTTGTTTTTTTAATGTGTTTGTTTTGCTGGCAGGTGGCCCTCTTAATTTCTCAGAGAGACTTGTGGGTCCCGATTCACCGATTCACCAGATGAAGGTAGATGTCCTAAAGGAACTCATATAACTCATTCAGAATATATTTATCATTCAGAATATGCCCCCCAAATAAATTAATTTCAAAAGAAAACAGTAGCAAATTCACTCACTTCAGGAAACCCTGTTTGTGTTTTTTACTTTCATAATTTCCATAGACTATTTGCAGCAGAAGACTTGCAAGGGTTATCAGGTTGGCATCAGGTGAGGTGTAGAAGCCTTTCAGCAAATTGTACCTGGCTTCATCAAACAGGATAAGAATAGCCAGTGGATCCTCAATCTACAGCATAATAAACAAGCAAATCAATCAATAAGCATATTTAGCAAATATAACTGTAGTATCAGTAACTGTATATGCATCAAAGATGAGTTGCTAAGGTCCATCCACATTTTTTGTTTTTTCCAAGGGAATGTTACAGCTGAAGCACCAAGTGAAGCTGAACTTAAAAAGCCCTTTCCTCTTCCTTTCAGACCCACAAAGACACTTTCTTCTCTATTACGGTCAGCAGTATATATTTAAATGAATGAACAGGTTCTTTTAAAAAAATAGTTTATATGGGTAACACCAAGTGAGTACTTTAATACATAGAACAGGGCTGTTATTCATTGCATTATTTATAATACATAATACCTTGATTTCACTGCATTATCTTCTAACTGCTGTAATCCAGGTTTTTTGACACTGTTAATCATACTGCGTTTATTACACTGTTTTCTGATTTTATCATCTGCCATGAGTTTCAGCAAGAAATACAGCTTACAAATAATGTAAATAAAGAGTGCCAGCTGATTTTGATTATTTTTTTGTTTCTCAAATGTCTTATTTGGGTCCCGTGTGTCAAACACGTGAGGAATTTCCATGCTCGCCAGTAGAACACAGGCTTTGCTGGTGGGGTGGGGTCAAACAATCCCTGGCATCTACAGTTAAAAAGGTTAGCAAATGTCGGGGAAGGCCATTCTGTGCTGAAGACTGGCCATTGCCAGTCAGAACAAATATTAAACTAAAATGGACCAATGGGTCCATATGAATGTATGTCTACAGCATGTTTGCTTTTTAAGATGGCTGCTCTCTTTCTGGAGAGATCACTCAAATGGGAAAACTTGTAGTTTTGAACCTGTGTTTGACATAGTAAAACATGCAAATAGAACATGCAAGGGCCAACCTTTTTTTCAACTGCCAGAGGAAGTCTCACATCTCTTCTCAAGAAAAGCTGTGGCGTTTCCCTTTGAGGATCCAGGTTTGTCAGTTCGGTGAGTATTTCAGGCCAGTCACGGACATGCTGCAGAGGTTTATGGTATGGCTTCAGCTGGAGACCTATACAACAAATGCAAAACATGGCAGTACGGATCAAGTATGTGTATATCGTACAAAGTTTAACTTGAAAGTGGTTTTTTTTTTAAAGCCCATACATTTTATAAATATAAATTTAGTGACAACTAATTCAATCTGTATTGCATTTTTAACACCAGCTTTCTCATTAACTGTTGTCCATGTAAGTGTCCTTGGGATTCTTTAGCTTGGAGAAACGACAACTGAGGGGTGACATGATCGAGGTCTACAAGATTATGCATGGGATAGAGCAGGTACAGAAAGAAGTACTTTTCTCCCTTTCTCACAATACAAGAACTTGTGGGCACTCAATGAAATTGCTGAGCAGTTGGGTTAGAATGGATAAAAGGAAGTACTTCTTCACCCCAAGAGTTCACTGCCATGGGAGTTCACACATGGAGTTCACCCCAAGAGTTCACTGCCATGGGAGTTCACACATGGAGTTCACTGCCATGGGAGGTGGTGGTGGCTACAAGCATGGACGGCTTCAAGAGGGAATTAGATAAACATATGGAGCAGAGATACATCAGTGGCGATTAGCCACAAGGGATAGATAGGAACTCTCAGACTGGGGCAAGTGATGCTCTGTATTCTTGGTGCTTGGGGGGCTTCTGGTGTCCTGGCCCCACTGCTGGACCTCCTGATGGCACCTGGTATTTTTGGCCACTGTGTGACAAAGTGTTGGACTGGGTGGGCCATTGGCCTGATCCAACACTGGCTTCTCTTACGTTCTTGAAAAATGAATGACAGCTTAATTGAAAATCCAGTCAATTTTACTGTAGAAAATCATTGCCTTTAAATACACATACTAAAAGGTCAATAAGGAAGTTGTATTTGTTTAAAAGCCAATCAATACTTATTAGGACCAAGATAACACAAGGAAGTTCTAAGCTGCTTCAGAGCCTTAGAAAAAACATTAGTCATACACTAAACAGGGAAATTATGATATTTTATAGGCTAACAGGTCTTTAATGTAGCATAAGGTTTCATGGAGCCTTCTTCATCTGTTCACAGAAACTAATGTAAGAATAAAACTTAGTTTGAATATGTTCAAAAATTATTTAGATCTAAATCCTAAACACTTTGCTTTGGAGACAACAGCTGTGTATAGAAATTTCCAATACTTCTTTCTCCCCGAAATTGCTACTACTTACATAAACGTAATTCCACTGCAGCTTTTATCGAGTACATGAATCAAAAAGAGTGCAAACCCACATCTTTTCCTTTCATTATTAATATTTCAAGGCCCTTGGCACTGGCCAATTGTCACAAAAGAAGTGTATTACAGCTACGTACTGTTATAGTTCCTCCTCTTAACCTAGTTGGATATTTATACCTGACTTTTCTCCCCAATGGGATCAAATGTTCTCCTTCATTTTATCCTCACAACAACCCTGCGAGGTAGGTGAGGCCATGAGTGAGTGACTGGCCCAAGATCATCATGGCAAAGCAGCGATTCAAACCTTGTTTTCCCAGATCATAGCCCTGACCATCAAGCCACACTGCCTCTCATAAACAACCACAAACGACAAAAGTGTAGAATCTGCATTAAGTGCTGTCACCTGTCCTAGCACTGCTTTGACATGTACAATAGTCACTGTGGTGTAGCAGTTAGAATGTTGGACTAGAACCAGAGAAACCCAGGTTCAAATCCCCATTCCCCACAAAACTCACAAGGTGACCTTGGCCCAGTCATTCTCTTTCAGCCTAACTTCCCTAAAAAGGGTTGTTGTAAAAATAAAAGTAATGGGTTGAATCCAGACTAAATTTTCTGCTCATGCAAGGAGGCCCTTTCGTCAGAGAAACAGAATATTCCTGCCCCTCCTCCCACTGAACCTCACTCATTTTCCCCAAAAGCTGCTGCTGGGGGGACAAGGAAATCTCATGGACAGCTTAAAAGGCAAATCAGGAGTCTGCTCTGGAGCAGGAAGTAGTAGTTGGTAGAGATTTTACCCCATCTCTTCTGTTAGCAGAAAATTAGTCTGGATTCAACCCACGGTGAGAAGAACTATGCACACCACTCAGAAGAGAGGGGTGAGGTAGGAACAAAACGTCATAAACAGCTACTGTGTTTACCAACCCCCCCCCCCAACCTTTAGTACTTACTAAGGTTTTCAGAACAGATCCAAATAGTGAAGTACTGTTGCGTTTCTTGAGAAAGATGCATTCCTTCCATTATCTGTTGCACAGTAGTGTTGTTTCCATGTTTCAGCTCAACAGAGCGGTACGATCCGTCCATTCGGTAAATTCGCACCTTCTCATACTATAGGATACATTGAAAACAGGAGTGCATACATTGTGGTTGGCTACAAAAACCAGCCAAATCTTTTATTTATTTAAAAATTTTGTATCTTGCACTCTGCAGAATCTGCTGAGGTGGCTAACAACATAAAATGCAGCAATAAATAAGTTAAAGAGCTGGTAACATAGATGACAAACAAGCTTCAAAGGCAAGGAATTCAACAGGGGCAGCACCAATGCAAGGCAGCCCCCACCTCTAAATGCCACTCACATCACCTTAATGGGCAGGGGACCAACAGTGCTTAGGACGAGGCCCTTAATTTAATGACTCAATAGGAAGGGAGGTGGTCCTTCAGGTATCCAGGCCATTAGCACCTTAAAAGGAAAGCACCACGCTTGGAGCTGTTCCTGGTAATAGACAGGCAGTCAATACAAATCTTTTAGCACAGGAGTGACATGATTCATATCCCATCTCTGACAGCAACCTGTCCACCACATTCTGAACTAATTTAAGTTTCTGGATGGTCTTCAAAAGCCATCCGCTCTACAAACTGTAGGAGAGGCACAGAGTCATGCCTCTAACAATGCAAATCCTATGTACACTTTCCTGACAGTGAGACCCATTAAATAGACCTGAATACGATTCTGCTCCTTAAGAAGGCACTGCTGGAGAACCATCCAAAGCAGAATCTACTCAAGTGGGGTTTGCTCTCAGGAAAATGTTCTGAAAATTGACTACTGGTGACTCCTGGAAGAAAGGTTCAAGAAAGTCCCACATAAATATAATCAATCAGCATGCTGAACAAGGATTTATATACGGTTTCCAGCTGTACTATCAGATAACTTAGAGGCAAAATGAATGTCACTATACACTTATGTCTTAGTTTTTCACTCACATAATCAGGCACTCAAATTCAGGTCATTACACAAGAGACTAGTGCTTGTACACAAATGATCAATAAATGTTTAAAAGGTTAATACATACTGGTTTATTTATGGCCTCTTTCAACAAGGTAGCTGTTTTTTCCCATTCATTTTGTTTGTTCTCTTCACAGACGTTCAATGGCATTCTTCCTTGTTGATCTGTAATATGCTGTAAACAAAAATAAAAATGATTACAAATACAGCTTTCTAAAGGCACACACCCCTGTGAACACTGGAACGTGTACTATTCTTTTTTATGGACAGCAGCCACTGCCATGCACTGGCATGATTCTGCCTGTGCTCTGTGCTTGCCAGGGCCAACACATGGAATTGGTCAGCTCCGATGTGTGCAAATGCATCATTTGCAACCCACATGTTCAGAGTACTGACCAGCTGGTGGTGGTTCAAATGGCAACGGCAGGTCGAAATCAGAGAAGTACTTCCTGTTCAGCTTCCTGTATTGTGTATTTTCACTGTTTTATTTATTTAGGGGTTTTTATCCCGTCCTACCGCACAAGTCGGCTCAGGACAGTTTACATCATGTCATAAAACAATACGTAAGTTTCAGAAACAATAATCCATTAAAACATTAAGTTGAATTCTAACATGCTTAAAATTGAAGTAACTAATCTAAAAGACCTAATAACAGCAGCGGTGAGTAATTTCAATCCAACACACAGTAAACTCATTCCAGGAAAGGGGCAGGGAAATCACTCTGACGGAAAACCGGTGCAGCTCCTGGCACCTGAGATATGAATTTTTTTAAGCTTTACAACTTGCAAAACAGTGTTGAAAGGCTGCATGAGAAACTAGGAACAAGAAATGACTTACTCTGTCAATTTCTGGATGGTTCAGGAGAATCTGAACAATATTTGCATGCCCTCCCCCAGCAGCAAAGTGAAGAGGAGAGCTGAGCTGTCCATTCAGCAAGTTGGGATTGCATTTGCCTTTCTCTAACAGCATCCGAGTGGCTTCCACTTTTCCGTACCTGCACAGAGAGTAAACACAAACAGCATCAACGTTCAAAAATAAAGAGAAGATTTCACATGTGATGAAAAGAATGGATGCTCCTTGTGGGTAATTCTCAGTCAGGTGAGCTGAATACTTTCCTATAATAACCTCAGGTGCTTCACAGACTTCCACTCTGTTGACTGAACAAATATATTCTATGTAATCCACCTTGAGCCCCAGTGAGAAAGGTAGACTCTAAATAACATAATAAATAAAAATTTTACCGATGAAATTTAGTGAAGCGACTGTGTGTGTTTGTGTGTTTATGTGTCACTATTCTATAAACGAGGGGGAAAGCAGCCCGTCTAATTCAATTTCTTTTTTCAGTATTCTGGAATTTCCCCCTAATACATTCAACACAAACTTTCAAATATCACTTCCAAGGATAATACCTGGAGAAGCCATGTAGCTCTTAATAACAGCACCGCAAATCACAGGCTGTGTGTCACTACAAGGTTTGTAAAGGTTTCACAAACACTGAATTTTGGGCTATGGTTTTGAAACTAAAATGTAATAATGATAAAAATCAATGAAATGCCATCATTATGGTGAGGTGTGTGTTCACGCGTAGGAAGGATCTGTATCTTGCAGAGAACCCCTAGAGGGATTGCAATATATTACACTGCAAGCCCCTACTGGGGTCCTATCAGTGGAGGCCAGGATGCCACATTGTCAGAAGTACAGTATGGATTTCGCCTCCACTCTAAGGATCTCCTCCGATTCAGTGCTTAAGTGTTCTGCATAGAGGTGAATGGCAGCCATTTGTCTGTATGGAGAAAAGGAAAGGGTGGAAGCTCAGACAGCTTCAGGTGATCCCAGGCCCTGGAGTGGCCTTCTTCCAACTACGCCCTAGAGTGTAGCCATGATACTTTGTCCTCTAGAACTCTATGGAATTACAATAGTTCACTACTGCAAAGCCACAATCCTTCATTTGCATAGACCATTCCGATTCTTGGTCATGAATGTGACAGAACATTGGGAACAGACAGATGCCATTACATTTTTCAACTAGAAAGAGCGTTCCGCTTACCAGCATGCATAATGGATAGGTGCCCAGTGGTCATTGTCCAACTGGTTAACTGAAAGATTTTCATCTAGAAGTTGGCTCAACAACTCAGTGTCTCCTTCACAAGCACTACGGTGAAGAGGAAAGTCATCAACCCACTGCCGTTCCCTAGAAGAAATTAAAAAATATAGTATGTTGGTAACATTGTACATCTGTGATACTCAAAGCAATAAAAGGTGTTAATACACTACTGAGAATTTATTAACACACAAAAGGTAGTAATTGAGCCAGATTTTTTCCCATTAATGCAGTTTAACGAATAGCACTTTACGATTATATTACACATCACAGACCTATTGGCAGGATATTTCACTTTAAGAAATAACACACACTGAAGAAGTTAAAAAAAAACCGAGCTATGATCATAGTTATTTCCCCCCATCTAAGACAGATAAGAGAGTTTGGTCCTCAAAGACAAACTAGAGCACAGTCTTTTTTTGGAACACAAAAGGAATAAAAGTAACACAATACTTGTCCTCCATGACACTGCTCATGCTGCGTTGCCACTTTTCACGCTTTGGAATCTGTATTTTTGAGTAGTCTGGAGCCCCAAGTCCAAAGTATGGATTTATAACCACTTTATCAACCTGAAAACACCGTATAATAAAAAAGACTCAAAATACACGCTAAGGTATATTAGAAGCTAACAGGGATATAAAAGCTGTCCTGAAGTTGTAATTCTGTTGTCCTACCCGATTGGTATACTGAAGATCTGACCCAAACAAAGGATTGTAGATACACATGTCTGCTTTCTCAAGCGCCAGCATTTTACTCTTGATTTCCAATGCAGTGTATCCCATGTGAAGTGAGCTCTCCGTTTGCCCAGGTTCAACAGCATATGCGGGGTTTGTGACATTTGTTTTAATTCGCTCTAGGGGAGATGGTCTGAATAAAGCTGGGATAGAATGTGATTGTGAATGCCGTTCTTCTAGCCACCTGCAGAACAGAACAGAACGGATAAGCCTCATTAGCAATGGTTCATAGAACTGCAGATTAATCTGTACTGTGTACTTGAGTAAATGGTATTATACTAATCCTTCACAAAGATACATGCTCAAATATTTAGTGCTACAAGCTAGCACACTGTGGCCCTGATCCAGACAAAGACAGTCACTGCTAAACCTAGTATCCTCTGCATAACTTGCGAGCAAGACCAACTGAACTGAATGGACTTGCTCTCATTTGTGCCCCTGATGTGGAGTCAGACCCCCAGTGAGCAGCATTTTCCTCTGGCATTAGATGCTTTCTGGCTGATTGAAAGATGCTGACTTCACATGAGTAGAAGCACCCAGCACTGGAGGACCACGCCCTCTACAACACCATGGATCCTGCTAGCATTGCTTAAGACCAGTCCACAGGCCTTTGGCCAGTCAGTGTCCCAGCTGGACAGAATCAGACAGCAAAGGAACATGCAAGAACAGCTAAGAGCTAATCCATTATCACTGGAAGTCTCAGTCCTAGCAGTTGTCCTTGGAGTTGTCAAAGCAACCTAACAGTTGTGCTGGATACAGTTCAGTCGATGGAGGGGAAAAAATCCCCTCCTGCAGGACTCTCACCACCATCTCATAAGCCTACAAAATAGATTCTGATTCATGCTATGACTCAGCTGGGAGTCTTCCATCACTGATGTTTTGGTCGACACTGTACTCATTTATAAGCGACTTGTTTATAAATTAAAGCTCTCCATAAAAATAACTTGTGATTAAACAGTTTAAAGATACACCAAAGGAATTTTTTTTGGATGCCTATAAATTCAGAAAAATAACAAAATAATCTCTAACAATAGAAAGCTTTCTAGCTGTTCAAACATTAACAAATGCATTGTGGCGTAAGTTTCCATAAGCTGTCATGCACAGAAATGGGCCACATGCCATAATAAATTTGCTAAGTCTTTAAGGTGCCACAAGATTCTTTGTTTTAATAAACTCACAATGCAATCTGATGTAAAGCTACTCCACTTTAAGCCCAATGAAGTCAGCAGGCTTAGCCTGGACTAACTTTGTTCAGGATTTTGCAGTAACAAAGAAAAAAGGAAAATATTATCTAATTATTTACTGACGGATCAAGATGGGTAGCTGTGTTTGTCTGCAGCAGTAGAAAAGAGCAAGAGTCCAGTAGCACCTCAAAGACTAACAAAATTTGTGGCAGGCTAGGAGTTTTCGTGAGTCGCTGTTCACTTCTTCAGATACCCGGTATCTGGTGCTTCTGGATTCTTGCTTAATTCTTTACTGTGAGCTTTACAGATACCTGTATTTTTATCACATTCAGTAGTTTCACTAAAATGTTTCTTACTTATCCAAATAAATTAACATTCTAGCTGTAAGTGTAGCGAAGTGAGTGCTTGATTCACTGCATACTCTCATAATATCTTGTAAGCAGTAGAAAACTGGGCATCCAGGACTGTATGCATATTTTGTGTTATCTATAAAAGAAACAAGAATTAAGATGCAATTTTAATATCTACAAAATCCTTTGTACTCCAAGATACAATTTTAATCTTATAACATTTCATGTTGATATTCTAATCCTACTTCTTATAAGTACGTTACCTCAAAGGTTTTCCCTTAAGGTCACCCACTGACCTTCTCCCATCATGTGATGCAGAATACTTTGCACCTGGCAAATTTCTTCTAAAGGCCATATTGATTGTTATTGTGATGCTGTGTGGAATGCAGTCGTGCAAGTGTACTGGATATAGCTTGCGATTTAATCCATGTCAAGGAACCCAACTCTCCTTTAAAACATTGTCAACTGCACTATTTTCTTGAACCGCAGGGGGCCCCCCCCCCCTGCACCTCCTGTAGCACACGGAGCTTAACTGGAGCTTAATCAAACTATGAAGTGTTCGATTGGCTGTGATGCCCAAATGCAAGAACTCCCTGCACACAGAAAACTAGACGTCAGACTAGATGTCTTGCAGCTCAATAAAATAGGTGAACTATAAATGAAGTAAATAAATTCTAGCCTGGCATTTACCTTGACATGCTAATTTTCCACATACAGGAACCTTTTAGTAGAGGAGCGTTTCATCACATGAGCCTCCACTGCATTTTGAAATAGTACAACCAAGACATAAGTTTATTTCCTCATTTGCTGTATGATAGAACTAGGCCTTAGAGACACTGCACTTCGGTCCCAGCTGTCCCACTGAACTTTTCACTAACAGATCCCCCCCACCCCTAGTTTCTACCCTTTATTTATCTCTGTTTTTCTTATTTGTTGATTGCATTTGCAGAAAACATGATCTGGGTGAATTTGTTCATGTGCAGCATTTTCAAGCTCAAATGGCCATCTTTCCTATCTATCATGCCAAGAACCATTTTACACCAGTACTACGCAGTTGGAGCTGCGGTGGCTCAAGTGGTTAAGACGCTGAACTGCAGGCTGTGGAAGGTCAGTAGTTCAGCAGTTTGAGACCCGAGTGTGCCGCATGACGAAGTGAGCTCCCATCTCTAGTTCCAGCTCCTGCCAACCTAGCAGTTCGAAAGCAAGAAATTGCAAGTAGATAAATAGGTGGTACCACTTTGGTGGAAAGGTAACAGCATTCCGTGCGCCTTGGTGTTTAGTCATGCCGGCCACATGACCACGGAAATATCTTCAGACAGCGCTGGCTCTTCGGCTTTGAAATGGAGATGAGCACCGCAACCCTAGAGTCGGATTCGACTGGCTTTCGAGCAAGGGAACCTTTACCTTTACCAGTCCTTGGGATTTCTACTACAGGGCTACCCACCCTTGGCATGTGCGTCAAACAGAGGCACGCAACGCCTTTTTGCTCAGCACGCAAGGCCAGTTCTCTGCACAAGATACTGAGGCAAGCCTCTACGGTGCTGGCAGCAGTGCTGGGATCGGGAACATAGGAAAGGGAAACGGGAGTGGCTTATGCAGGTCATCTCCTCCTGGGACCCCTGCAGCTGCCAGCCAGGTGCAAGGTGAGCCTGAGGCTCCTGGAATGCCACTGGGGCTTGGCTTGCCCCTGCTGTGCCTAGCCAAGCAAATCCTTGTTGTCACTCTTCTCCTCCTGCTTGCCAGCACACCAACAGGCAGACACTGTTCTTTTGGCACTCAAGCCAAAACCGTTGCTTACCTTTCTATCTCTTCACTCCTTACAGCTTAAATTTAAGCGGTCACAATGTTTTCATCCTCTTCCTCCCCACCTCTCAAAAGGCTCCATTCTAGAAAACGTTTACAAGAACAGCCCCCATAGAACTGTCTGGACATGGAATTAGGAGTGCAAGATTTGCATATGTGTGGCAGGCTATCCAGGAAATGCACTGTCTGGCAGGACAAGAGAAGCCCTTGGTCCCAGGAGCAGGGCTCACCTGGGTGGAGTAGGGTGTGACCAGGGGCAGGAGGGTACTCAGGCTCAAAAGGGGTAGAGGCAGTGAGTAAGCAGACAGGAGAACAATGGCTCTCTGGGCCCAGGGGTTTTAAGGCAGGGCATGGCTGTGGAGAGCAGGGTACAGAGAATGAAGGACAGAGCTCAGCTCAAGGGCCAGGGAGGAAGAGGAAATGCGAGCAGGCTACCTGGGGAAGAAGAAAGAGACCAGTTGCAGTGTAATGCACTATAACCCTGTGGTGGCTGAAGTGACCACATCTTCAGATATGTGGGTTGCTGAATAAAATAACTTGCATAAGGAAACAGTGTCTAGGCTGATGGACTCCAGGTATGATGCGCCACTAACCCCAGAGTATACTACTGCATATTACAAAGGCAACCATGCCAACTTTTTCTAAATACATAAAACTTCAAAATTTTAATTTTACCTTTTACAACTGTTGGTACAACAAAAAGTGATGCATCCTTGCCTGCTTTCTCTCCATCAAGAGGAAACTTCTTCATTAACATAACTCTTTTCCCTGGATATAATAATACATACAATTAAGTAGCAGAAGCATCCCTCTTAAAATGTGTCTCTGTTGCTAACACACAACATACTGAAAACTAAATGGATGCTTATGCACAAGTTTTAAGTTCTCTTAGCATGAGTTTAAGCATCAAGGGGGGTTTCTTGCCTGACATCTCCCACTACCATTCTCTGCCTTTTTAAAACTATTTTTGTGAGTATTTTGTGTGTGTGTGTGTGTATGTGCTTGCGGGCCTGGAAGTCACGGTGGCTTCTAGTGACTCTTAGAGGGGCTAGGACATTTCAGAGAGGTGGCTTGATAATCTGCCACTGTGTCCTGGCCCTGGTATTCCTTGGAGGTCGCCCTTCCAAGTACTTGCCAGGGTCAACCCTGCTTAGCTTCCGAGATCTGATGAGATCGGGCTTACCTGGCCTATCCAGGTCAGGGCCATTCTGCCTTTTTTGACCCAAACATTGGGCAGCAGATTCAATTCCCACTGCTCTGCTTCTGGTTTGGCCACATCAGCAGCAACAGAAGAACTGTTAGTCAGCCAGAGGACTGCCACAGTAATACTCTCTTCACCTTCTGAAACAATGAAACCTGTTTCTGTGCTAGCAAGCAGTCAATGGATCAGGGACTGTTTTATTCAGCCAGGTATTTTATGTTGCTATAAAACCCTGAAGTTTTACTTATTTACTTCATTCATACCCTGTTTTTCTCCACAGTGGAGACCCAAGGCAGCTTCATCGTTCCCCTCTCCTCCATTTTATCCTCACAACAGCCACATGAGGTAGGTTAAGCTGTGTGACTGGCCCAAGGTCACCTAGCAAGCTTTCGTGGCAGAGTGGGGATTCGATCCTGGGTCTTCCAGATCCTTGTCTGAGACTCTAACAACTATACCACACTGGTTCAAACTGAATAGAAGAAGAGTTGGATTTATACCCCTCCCTTCACTCAGAGTGGCTTACAATCTTCTTCCCTTTCTCTCCCCAGAACAAACACCCTGTGAGGTAGGTGGGGGCTGAGAGAGCTCTGAGAGAACTATGACTGACCCAAGGTTACCCAGCTGGCTGCACGTGGAGGAGTGGGGAATCAAACCCGGTTCTCCAGAATAGAGTCTGCTGCTCTTAACCACAACACCACAGCTGGCTTAGTTTAAATGGATATGCAATTTCCTGTAATAACTGTTAGTCACCCCAAGGCCATTGCCATGAGATTATAAATTATAAATATTGAAAATAAATCATTTAGCTTGGCTTCAGAAATTATATTCTGCTTTACAGAGAAAAACAACAGAACAAACATTATTACCTTTGATACCTTGATTTCCTGGTGAAATTGGTTTGGTGGTTTCTAGTATATAATCCAAGATACTTTGTGTTACATCACTGCCTCCTTGAAGCTTCGTTTCCAGCAACATCTTCCTTCTTTTTTTCTTGTGTCCCTCAATAGGAACTTCCAGCAACAAAATCTTGCAACAACCAAATTGAGTACTAATTAAACACGACAGAGCAGGTGTGTGTCCGGAGAAGAATAACACCACAAACCTTACACTGGGAGCCCACACAAGCACTTAGGTATATCAATGTTATAAAAGTTGACTTTACTTTGCAAGCAATGTTACACCACTGTCAAGGCAATTATAGACAGTCAGCAACCTCTCAGAAGCAGCGTGGAGACAAAGTGGGAAGGGAGGGAATTGGAAATTGCTGCTCTCTCTTCCAAAGACAAAGTGCTCTTAAGTCTTTGGTTGCATACAAGCCAGTTATTTTATACTTCAATTGTATGCATGTATAAAAGAAACTTTAAACACTGGTTTTCTCATGCTCATACCCTTCCTACTGGCAACGCCATCCTCGTGTCATGAGATGATGCCATTTGTTACACATTCTATGACAGTGATATTAGGCTGTACTGTTCTATCAATGCTACATTCTCACTATGTTTCGATAAGCCCTTATGGCCAACAACCTGCTTATAAAACTTAGCTAAATACTAAGAGATAAAGCAGAACCCTAGAGATATTACCATCTCATACAACCCATTACAGGGTAACTAAGAAGGGAGTTTTGTAAGTATGTCTATTTTCTGCTTAACTTTCTGAGTAACTTCACCAAGAGTTTAACGTCTTGGCAATGCAAGGCTGGTTTTTAATGTTTTAGGTCTGGCCTGAGAGATGAGCAGCACTGAGGTCCAACTGCATTATTGCTCCTGAAACTATTGAAAATTATTTAGTAAAAGCTGGCATGAAAGGTGTAGAGTAAAAGAAAACATGTGACAACTCGGGGCGGGTTCCGAAAGAACTGTTTTATATACAAAAGTGATATCCTGTAGGGTACCCTCCTGAGTTTCCATTCACATTTAGTTATACCAAGGATGTATCTATGACAAGAATGGCGTTGTCAATGAAGCTGCAGCTGTGCTGCCTATGACTATACAATATGACTCCATTTTAATGCAATCTCTACCTACCTCATATGATTTCGCCCGATATTCACGAGAATTCAGACTTGCAGTATTTTTGGGACGAATGACAGCCACGTAAGCGTCAGTTGTAAACTCTGGGTTCCCCATGATTTGTTATTACTCCTTTTGTTACTGAAAATAATAATAACAATAAATTAAATTACTAAAAAACAGGTTCACAAAAAACTATAATTCTCTCTCCCCTGCTTTTTTTGCTTTTCTATATTCAGAACCCATTTTTTTCTTTGTGCTTTGACTACTTGATTGGCTTCTAAAAATTATATACATATAAAGTTATATATATATTTTAAAGAAAGCCATTGCATAATTATTCTTGCTTAAGGAATACAAGATAGGCTGTTTGGATCTAAGAGATGTGATACTATTTTTTAATTTATTTATCTTTGAATTTATATCCCGCTCTACCCCGAAGGCAATGTGTGCTCCAGTCCTTTGTTGGTCAGGAACCACATATACAAAAATAGGCTGCACGTATGGTCCTTGAGACGAGATCTGCGTTTAACATGTGGAGTTATGCCTGCAGTTTGCAACACTCCACAGAAACTGGGTACACAGTGCTGAAGAGATATGACTATCAGCTTCGACACTGCATCAGTGCAATCCTATGCAGAGTTACTCTAGTCTAAACCTATTGATTTCAAGTCACCTGAATGTGGGGAATGGTATTGATCTCAGACCTCCTTTCCTGTCAGTATGCAGGGCTTGCCTTCATGCTTCTTGCTCTTACAGGGTTGCCACTAAAAATTTATTTTTCATTTCCCTGACTTTCCCTGACCAACATCTGTCAATTTCCCTGACCACCATTCAATTATAACAACGTTAAAAAATGAATAGGTCAATGCTCCCTCTAAGCTGTGGAGTCTTGTGAGCAAAAATTCTACTTTGTGAGCTACTGGCATGAGAGTTGTGAGCGAGCGATGTGGCTACTGCGTAAATTAGTTTGCTAAGGAGCCCTCCTTCGTGGGTTAAGACAAGAATGTGTGAACTGGAGGCTAAAAAACTGTGAGCTAGCTCACACTAACTCTGCTTAGAGGGGACACTGGTCATATTGCATTAATGCAAGGTAAGGGTTCCACTCTACAACGACACAAGTCTCAACTGCAAAAATATTTGTCAAAGAGATTTAATATCAGCTTCTTTCAACATTAACTGCAGCAACATCTGTTTTGCAATTGCACCAAAAATTACACCAAGATACAAATTTCAATTCAAGTAAACTCTGAATGCTAACAAATGACATAACATTTTTGTTATTGTTTTAAAGGTACACTAAAAACTATATAAACATTCTATCTAAAATAGTTGGGAAAGGGCATCATTAAGTTCTACTTGTATTTGCTACTTCTCTATTCCAGTTGCCACAAGAACAGATCATGCTCTTGCAGCAGCAGGTCAAAAGTCCACCGCTTGAATATATTTTAATCACAACTTCCCTGACTTTCCCTGACTTCAGACCAGTTTCCCTGACTTATTTTCATTTCCCTGACTTATTTTCATTTCCCTGACTTATTTTCATTTCCCTGACTTATTTTCATTTCCCTGACTTATTTTCATTTCCCTGACTTATTTTCATTTCCCTGACTTATTTTCATTTCCCTGACTTTCCAGAAAGTGGCAACCCTGAAATAATACTCTGCTATCAAAGCTTACAGCATTCACCATCTGATGAAAGGGTAAGCGCACGTAAGCTGTGAATGCAGATCTCTCATCTGGGACCACTATACAGAAGGAAAATTCCACTGACATAAGTTTTGCATTCATATAATGCGCCTTTACAATCAGGATTTATAGTTCTAAAATGAAAATAACTACTGTCATACAAACAAAATTACTAACAAAATTAAAACATTTTAAGACAAGGTGCAATATTTCCTATGGCAACAATAAACATTTTTACTGCATTAAGAGTTTATGAAATTGTAAAAGGTGTAACTGGTATATTATTTAAACAATTGCCTATATTTGTTAACACTTTTGCAGGTAAGGAATTGTAATGATGAGACTGTTACTGACAGCTCAACCCATACCGAAGTTAAAATGAAACTATTAAATTCAATCAGGATTGTGTTTTAATCCTATTTTTTTTTTAAAAGCAGAGTTATGAATCATCCACTAAAGACAGGGCTACATAGCAAGGACAGTGGCTAAGTTTAATACTCAAGTCTGTACAGAAGTGTCTGACTACAAGCAAATCATGGTTAAAGGCTGCACGACGATGAGATCTAAACAAGGATGTGAACAGAGGAGGTGGCAGCAGTGCAAGTCTTTTGCCTGGGAGTGACAAAAACCTTCTCACCCAAGGAGCCCAACTTCAGTGTGTGGATCTAACCCAGATTCCTACATATACAAGATCACACCTTTGTTTTCTGTGGTAATTGGTCTGGGATAATTACCACCTCAGCAATTACACCAGCTGGTAAACCTGCATAGCAAGTACAATCAAATACCATCCTTTAATCACCTCAATAGCAAGATGTCATACACAAAAGCTGATGTGAGATTTTATGTTGATTAGTCTGGGTAATGATTATAACCCATAACATCCAAATTGCAAGATGTCACAGTCCCACTGTATACTGCATTGGTCAGGCTGCACCTGGAGTATTGATGCACCTGGAGTATTGTGTACAGTTCTGGAGGCCTCACTTCAAAAAGGATGTGGACAGAATGGAGCAGGTGCAGAGGAGAGAGTGACAAGGATGATTAGGGGCCTGGAGACTAAGCCCTATGAGGAAAGGCTGAAGGATTTGGGAATGTTCAATCTGGAGAAGAGGAGGGACAGGATTGGTCTCTAATAGCCATTTAATCTGAGATTAAGTGGTCCATTCAGAATCAATGCTATAGAGTGGAATAGACTGCAGGAAAACAGATAATTGTAGTGAGGGAAATAGATGACAAGCATGCCTCCTTTGCATGCTTACTCAGTAGTGCAAAGACACGGTAAACGCATGAAGCTGCCTTATGCATCAAGGTCAGTATTGTCTATTCAGACTGGTAGCGGGCTCTCCAGGGCCTCAGGCTGAGATCTTTCACATCACTTACTGCCTGGTCCTTTCGACTGGAGGTGCCCTGGAGTGAAACCAGGCCCTTCTGCATGCTAAGCAGATACTCTTTCACTGAGCCATGGCCCCTCCCCTCCAAACAGCCATATTAGTACAGGGGGGGGGGCGGGATGCAATTTTATACATAGGTTGGAATCAAGGCGATTTCCAAGATTCTACCATTTTCAGCTGAAGAGCTGGGACCACACGTTTGAACGCTTTTTCCCTTGTATTTTTTTTAAAAAAAACCTCAGCTCCTTGCGGATACAGAACAAGCATGGTCAGGGCGAAAAATACAATCTAGGCTTCTGTAAACACACTGCTTTTAGGCGCGTTGGTGGCTGGGGGCATTCAAACAGGCAGCCCCATCTACTTCGATAGAATGCAGTGGTCTCCACTTCCGAGGAAACTGTGCACACGACCGCAGCTCCAACCTACGCACGCTTACTGAGACAGCAGCCCCCGCTGTGTTCCGGGCGGGCTTCCTTCCACTCCAGGTCTGCCCCCTCCCTGCAAAGGACTGCAACTCTGACAGGCGCAATCGACGCAACCGAAAGCCACACCGGCGCACTAAAAAGAGGGAACGGGAGTCTGACGGTCCTCGCCCGGTCCGTTTCACCTTACCCGGCGGGTACCCTTGACGACCCTCTCGCTTCCCAGGGATGCATCCTCCGGCCCCCGGCGGAGAGTTCACTCCTCGGCGGCGGCGGCTCCGCCCAGCTGCTCCCCTCCCACCCCAGCCCGGGCAGCAGATCCGCTTCCCGTGCGGCTCCGGCGGCGGATGAGTTTCCGGGTCGGAGGCCTGATTGCTTGTTGCCGCCGTTGTGTTGTTGGCCGCGGGAGGAGGAGCGGCGGGCTTCCTTGCGAGATGATGCCTCAGCTCCGGCGGGGACCGTGACTTTGCCCCGAGGGGGGGCGGGGGGAGGGAGAGCGGGGGGCGGAAAAGACGCCGAGAGAAGAGGCTGGCGAGGCCCGGGCGCTGCAGCCCAGTGCAGAAAGAGAGAGCAGGGAGGACCCCGCCGTCCGAGGCGAACAAAGGGGCAGCAGCAGCAGCAGCGCCGAGCGAGTGGGAACGGCGGGTCTCCTCCTCGACCGGGGCTTCCACACACACACACCCATTTCTGTGAGGACCATCTGCTTGCAGCCGAAGTGGGAGGCGGGAGGCGGTGTCACTCCAGGCCGGGGGTGGGGGCAGCCAGGACCCCAGCACGACCCCAGCTAGGATGGCGGTGCTGCCGGCTGCGTGAACGAAAGGTGCCGGGGAATCACCCTGTGAGGAACCGGTGAGTGTTTTCCCGGGCGGGCGTCGAGTCTTGGGGGAAAGCCGCGAAAAACCCCGCAGCCCGCCACGGCTCCCGGGACGCGTCTCTGTCGCGCAGCGCTCCTTGTTTCTCTCTCTCCATCTGTCGGGTTTGGAGGAGGTGGCAGGGCCAAGGCGGCCGCAGGGGTGGGCAGTCGGTTGGCAAGAAGTTGGGAGAAAACGGGACGGCGCTAGCCCGCCGGGGCGGCTCTTCTTCCAGGGGTCGCGCCAGTGCCGGGCCAGGGGGTTGAGAGCCTCGTCGAGGGGATTCGGGGACAGCCTCAAGGCGCTCTGCTGCTCCTCCAGGCGCCGCCTTCCGACGCCACCCTGATCGGTGCAACATAGCTGGCCCTGCAGTCTGCCTTGGACCGAGCCCGGGGGGGGGGGGGGGCTCCTCTTCCCGTGCTGCCTTTCTGGTTGCTGAAGGAACCGCCTTGACCACAAGCCTGGTGTCAGATTCAGGGATATTTCCTCCCGTGGTGCCCCACCGGGTAGCTTCTGCAGCCTGCCTGGGCGGAGTAAGTTTATAGGGGATGCACCACCTCCTGCCTCCCTGCTGGGCATGGTAACAGGCTGAAGAAGCTTTGGATCTGCGATAGGCGGTAGCGGTGAAAGAGTGTGTGTCTTCTCCCGTTTAGCACTGCCAGGTGCAAGGCAGGGTGTAGAAACACCTGTCTTGCAGTCAGCAGGATGGCAAAGGATGATGCTAATTTGGGTTGAAGGTGGCTGCTGTTGCATCCGACCTTGCATTTGGTTGTGCTGCAGAGATAGCGGTGTGAGGGGACATGGTTCTGCTCCTGCCCCACCCTCTAGCTGATATTTTGGTCTAAGCAACTGTGTTGGGCATTGAACCAGCCCCTGACTGAAGGAAAACTAAAGGTGTGTGTTTAGAGTGCTGCACCTGGAAGTGTGGAGGATTCAGCAGAAGGCAGGAGAATACCAAGCTTGGCTATATAGACTCAGTGGTACCTCTGTGAGCTTGCTCAGCTATTTTAATATCCTCTGTTTTCTCTAAACTTGTAGTCCAGAGTTGTATGGGTCACTTCTCTCCCCCCCCCCAATATTTATTCTAGATCATGTCAGTGTGAGTGAAGTTTGAGTTTCTGATCCACACTGGTGATCCTCTGTGCAGAAAAGAAGAAAGGGGTTCTAAATCAATTGAAGCAGAAGACAAGGGTGTGGTCATGTGTGGCAATGTAAACAAAATGGCATTGAATTAATCTGTTTTAACTACCATCCTTGACTCCTAATCAGTGTACAGTAATTCTGCAGATTGTATGAACTGGCCAAGTCTTCCTTGGACTGTATCTCTTCAGGTTGGTGGGGGCAGGCTTCATGTATGAATGCTCCCCCACGGAGGAAAGTTCCGTGCACATAAAAATGGAGCATGCTGAAGGAAAGGGTTGAGCCAAGCCCACTTCCTAATGAGTTCTTTTCTCTTGGATATGAAGGGTGTTGGTCTTTGTGGTGAAATATTCAGACAGATAATCCTCCTAGCCATAGTTCAACATGGCACAGGCCTGGAATTTCTCTTTAGTAGTATAAATTGGCTGCTGTGCAGATGACAGGCAGGGTCACTTGTGATAACATAAAGGCCATTTACATGCTATATTTATTGAAATCTTTTAGCCTGCCTTTTGCAGGCTGTCAGAGGAACCTAAAGATAGTTCATAAAATCAGTGCACTACCTAAGAAAGCCAGTTAAAATAAAAATCCAACAACCACTGTACAAATGATCCCAGAACTAATTCCTGTTGCCATTAACCAAGAGTTCTCTTAAGTAGAAGAGATTGGATTTATACCCTGCCCTTCACTCGGAGTCTCAGAGAGGCTTACAAACTCCTTTCCCTTCCCCTCCCCAAACAGACACCCTGTGAGGTAGGTGGGGCTGAGATAGCTCTTTCAAGGACTGCTCTTTCAAGGACAGCTCTTGTCAGAATTATGGCTTGCCCAAGGTCATCCCACAGCTGCAAGTGGAGGAGTGGGGAATCAAACCCGGTTCTCCCCGGTTAGAGACCACACATTTAACCACTACACCAAACTAGTGCCTTACAGACTTTCCTAAAAACAGGAGGAATAGCAACAATATTGGCTTCCAAGGGATGGCTGTTCCCCAAATCTGAAGCTGAGAAGAGCCCATGAGCAGGCTGCAGCTGTTCTCCCCACCCTAGGAGAAGGAACAACATGTTGATGCTGAACTTGATCAGCACATTGGTTCACACAGGGCAGTGATGTCCAATATGGTACCTGTGGGTCCCATGGCGTCTGCCAGTGTGTTCCTGGTGCCCACTGGCTTCTTCCCCCAAAGTAAAGAGCCAGTGTTGACTTTCCCCCAATTAATTAGAAGATGTGTCTAAAGATTCCCATGAAGTATAATTTTCACATCTGCAGGGAGAACCCATTTGGAAATAGCTGTCTCCATCGTAGAAGAATGCTTTGGCTTGAAATCCTCCAGTATTTTGTGATTGAACGCATCCCTCATGATTGGCCTAGCCCCAGTTGGCAGCCATTTTATTGTGATGCCTACATTTCTGTTCCCAAACTTCAAAAAGTGCCCACTAGTGAAGTCCTCAAAACCACTTCTGTACCCTGTGGCAGCAATAACTTTCCAGGGGAAAGGATTAAAGGTTTAAACCACGTATTTTCAATATTAAAACTACCTGATTTCTACAATACTTATCTTGCCCTATAAAGCTGTAGCTTTGGGCTTAAATTATCTGCAGTATTTCAACTAAAGAAATCCCTAATCCTCTTCAGTGTGCATAAAGGGTTGTAGGATAAGCTCTGGAATGTTATGTTTACTTGCGTAAGGCATTATGGGACAAGACACTGCTGATACAGAATAATTAAAGACTGGTTAAAATGTGAAGTACTAGGGAACACGTAGCTTTCCCCCCTAAAGGATTAAATCAGTTGTAAAAATTTGTAGTTAAGGTCTAACAGCATTGTGAATGCTAGTGACTTCTGTTTATCTTTTATAGTTTACTTACTTGGGCTTGAGAGTTGGTACTTAGACTTTTAGGGAAATATTAGCTGAAGTAGCTATTAATGGAAACATGGTAACTTTCTATGTGATGTGTCAATAACAGCAGGTCATTGTGTATGATCTATTGTCACTGAAGAATAAAAAGAACAGAATACAAATAGATCCTTTTGGAATCCTAGTCTAACCACCTACATGTTGTAGGGTGTTACTGCAGTAAGCTACATTAATGTTAGATACATTTTAAAAGATACATCAAATATTTTGCATTTATCTGCAAGCTGTAAACTTGTTAAAATACGTAAAGTGGAAATGTGATTCTAAACCATTTCTCAGTTGTTTTGGCCTCTTTCAAAGACACTAACTGTGCAACCCTAAGCGCAGTTACCCCCTTCTAAGTACCTTGACTCTGTTTAGGATTGTCCTGTACATGTTATATTTATTTATTCAATCTGTACCCCTCCCTCCCCATGAGCGGGCTCAGGGCGGCTTACACAGTTGGTACAATACCAATAAAACCACATAAAATCATTTAAAACAATTTAAATACAAATGAATTAAATTTAAAACAATTAAAATACAAATAAAAGGTGGGGGTTGCATACTTCATAAATCTAGACTGATGTAATACTGCCCATCTTCTGCCTACAGTTGGGAAATGGGGAGCGCGTGACCTTTTCTTCCTTGTGTGGTCTTTTTCTTTTTTTCCCCCATGCTAAAACTTTAATCATAAGATGTGTAGCTATGGAAAAAAAGATGCCTTTTCAGTTATAGCCAAAGACTTGCTTAAATAAAATGAAAATATTTCTGAATGTCAGTAATTGTTTTTTATCAAGAGAAAATGAGCTACTAATACTTATAGGTGCTGCTTTCCCTTTCAGTAGTCTGTTGGAGTCTGTCATTAGTAAAGCAGTTGGAATAAAAAGCATCTGAATTACCGATTTCATACTGCTGGGGGTATCTTATCTATTATAGAAGTCGGTCACGTGACATAGTATGCTGTAAAATAGAGAGCTTTGTTTAGAACAGGAGTTATGTGGTTATGTAGCTTGATATATCTAATGATGGCAGATACTGTTCATTTGTAGTGAGCTAAGGTTTATAGTATAGAAGGGGGTGACTTTCTTCAGAACTATAAAGATTATTATATTCTGAACTTTTTTCTGATGGTTTGTACTAACCAGCATTTTGTATAGTAAGTTACTAATGTTACTTTACTTCTGTAGACCTACAGTAAATACTTACTGTATTTCCAAACATGCTAGGATATTAATGGATGTTTGAATTAGGAGACACAACTACTAGGGTATACTTTCTGAAAAGGGAGCACTGTGATTAATGGTCTCTTCAACCAAGCTGTCAACGAAGTCTGGCTCTTATACTGAATAACTCATACAAAGTATCATTTGTTAAAGCCTTGTAATATGTACCACAATCGTGCCCATATCTACAGTCTCATAAGCAATGAAATAAAGGTTGTTTTAATTCTGAAATGCCATTTTCTGTACTTCTAAAATTATATGGTGTCCCCTACTGGAGCGTCTCTAACATTCTCCTCTTGCTTTTTTTTAACATCTAACCTGAAGAAGAGTCCAACAAAGCTTGCTGTTATTAGCTTCCGCTATCACTTGGAGTGATGCTGTTGATAACTGTGATGCTTTTTCTCTTTTCCTGCCTATGCACAAGGAGCTCTAAGACAGGTAGTTCTTGAGAAAGCATGTCATATAGGAAAGTACAAATCTGTTTCTTAAACTACAAGTGCTGGTTTGATTGCACAAGCACTCACACTCTGTTCTAGAGAAGGGGTTGAGTTGTACCAGCAATACACCTCAGAACATAACTTGATCCAGACACCCCCTGTAAGTATGTGTAATAGACAGAGGGAAATACATTTCCATTAATCTCCACAGTATGATCTATTTTTGCTCATTGTTGTGGAGATACTGCCTGAGCTGGCCAGACTCCAGTAAAGTGTATCCTGTCCTTTACTCTGTTTTCAG